CAGACGACAAGGTTTTCATTTGCTTTTCAAATCACTTTCCTTTTATCAATTTATTGCCCTTCTGTCATCGGATCACGAAGATGTGGCTCTACAGTGCCACCCATCAACTCAGCGCAGCTCATGTTGAATGAATAGTCTAACTTGTAGTAGACGTTGCGTTATGACAACAAACCCGACACTGTGGTAACGACTCCCAATTCAGCAATGAGCGCCTAAAAATAAGGATACGAGTGGTGCCGAGGGATGAAAAACCCCTCCTCTACACACGGTTCATTGACATCCTCCAATACAGTTCATTGTCCTTTTTCTTTTCCCCCTTAGTCAATATATCTAAGCAGTGATTGCTTGACAAGGTCGAGCACACCAGTGGCGGCTGACGGTGTGAACCGAGCTCATCCCGACGACTATGGTGATACAGATACCAGGTGGTATCCACAGATTCCACTTCCATCAGAGCTCATCAATTCGTACCGGGCACGACCGCAGCTGTACCCAGAAGCCACACTTGCTGCGGCGGACCCATCATCTTTTGACCATCAGTCGTCAAGTCATACGAATAATGATTGGAGCCGTGGCTCGAGAGAAGAAAACTTTGCCGCCGCAGCTAATGATCTCATTAATCAGTCCCTTGGACGAACCCCCGGAGGCACCTCGGTCGTGGAGCCAGACTCGGTGCTGGGCGAGTCTGGTAGGTTATATCATGGCTATAAAGAGGGAAAATACTTGATACCCAACGATGCGGTTAGTTTCGAGTGCAATCTGTATTCACCTTCCTGATCTTGTAGCTCATGACTTTTTTAATAGGCCGAGCAAGACCGGCTTGACCTGCAACATGAAGTCTACCGGCTCCTCTTTGACGGTTGGCTGGCACTAGGTATGCACTTTTACTTTTTCCCCCCGGGCCCTTCTGGTCAAACAAAAGCCAAATCGCTTATAACCTTGAGTCGGGGGGCAAATAGCTCCAATGTCCAGTCCCCCCAAGTACGTCCTGGATATTGCCACGGGAACGGGCATCTGGGCGAGAGAGTTTGCCGAGCAGAACCCTTCATCGTACGTGATTGGCAGCGACCTGAGCGCCATCCAGCCCGAGACGGCGCTGCCCAACCTTGCCTTTATCAAGGACGACGCCGAGGATACTTGGTTATTTCCCCTGCCCGCGTCCCCTCATGGTGCGGGCGCTGCGGCAGATCCATTTTCCGCGGCGCCCATGATCTCGTTTGACTATGTGCACCTCCGTCTGGTGTTTTCTTGTTTCAATGATCCGCGCATCGTCATCCAGAGGGCCTTTGACAATCTCGCACCGGGTGGGTGGCTAGAGTTTCAAGAGCTGATGCCCACGTTCCATCAAGCCAACCCGGCATTCAAAGGTGAGTTGCATAGAATTCCTGACGAATTGTTTGACTGAGATTGCTTACACTACCACGACCAAGGGGACGCTCTGAAGCGATGGGCGGACGGCTGTGGTCGCGGTGCTCTTGCCGCGGGCCGCAACCTGTACGTGGCGGACAAGTACAAAGGTTGGATAGAAGAGGCAGGATGTAAGTTGAGAGCTCTTCATTCTTCTCTTGGTCCACTTTCCGATGGACAGAGGTTGTCTTGGAATCCCAGTCTAATAACAGTGTCCCCAGTTATCGACGTTGAGGAAAAGCGCTTCGTGCTTCCTGCCCACCAGTGGATGCAAGACCCCAGGATGAACAAAATCGGCCAGTTCAACCAAAGAAATATGCTGGAAGGGGTTCGCGGCGCTGGGTGGATGATGCTCAAGGCAGCGGGTATGACTCCAGAGGATATTGAAGACTTGATTTCGCAGGTCCACTCGGAATTAATGATGAGAGACAATCACGCCTACGGCCATGTGTGAGTCCCAAAGTGCCAGAATCGGACCTATGGAGCGAAATCTAACAACTTTTACTCCTTAGTTATGTCGTGTATGGCAGGAAGCCATTCGATGAATAGTTGTATAAGCAGAGTCGGTGGTGCTTGTTATTTCAGAGTCCTCATCACCCTTTAATTATGCTTAATGTCATTACAAAGAGGGAATGCGGCGGCGGAATTGAAGAATATATGGAAGTATAGCACGATTTGTTCTTAACACTCAACAGATGTGAGAAAAATATATGAAACCTCGCCTCACTGATCGTTCATTACGTTCAGCCCATGACTCTGGAGACTATCAACAAGAGATAATTGACCCGTAAAGAATTTGAACATGTACTGGAGCCAAGGTCTTTCACTTGGACATCGCTGTAAGCCACATTAGTTGACAAGTGTCATTTGAGGCATTCCAGAATCCGGATCCTTTCTTCCAATTGGGATATACACGACATTCTCTAATATCATGTATTTAATCCAAGCACTCGAGGTGAAAAGGACTCCATACGTGAACTTTGTGATTGAGATGCAACTGGCGCTTTATGAATCCCCTTCTCGTGCTTTTTGGCTAGAGTTCATGTCCCCTTTGAAGGATTCGGCTCACATCGAGCCTGGTGCATGTTTGATTATCAGGTCATGCAATCTCACTCACATACCCGACAATGCGGTAGCGAAGGGCCCACCTCGGACTCTGAATGGCTGATTCGGGGTGTAAAAAAACATGGGGGTGCGTAAACCCCTCACGTGAAACAGCGTTATGTTCCGAAGTACGGATTTTCGAATCAGTGTATTACTTGCTATATATTTTTCAGAAAATCCCCTTGTTCTTCCTTGATAGACCATGACTCGGCATAATCAAATCGCAGATCATCATACCGATTCTGCAGAAAGACAACTCGCAGGGTTAGCCATCCAACCCAAAGACGAGGGCGACGGCGATACCAATATGCAGGACCCAGATCATTCTGGAACTCATGAATATCCTCCTCCACCCGTCGTCTCTGGGACAAGAGAGAGTGTCGAGCCAGATTCTTCACAACAACAAGCCGTGCTGCCATCAGAACGTCTGGAATCCTACGGGCCCCCTTCCCGTCTCTTCACCGAGACGATACCAGCCGCCGACCCGGCCTTTTTGCGGTCATCATCCGATTCAGGCGGCGGCACGCAGCAGAATGTAGCAGCAGCCGCGGCATCCGGTCCATCGGCGTGGCGGGATCCTGATTATGCCGTCAAGGCGAATGCGCTCATCAACGAGACCCTGGGGCGGCATCCCGGGGGCACTTCCGTGATCGAGCCCGAGTCGGTGCTTGGCGACTCCGGGAGGCTCTATCATGGATACAAGGACGGACGGTATTTTTTGCCCAATGATGCCGTAAGTTTTGTCGCAAGCTCTCAGGGGATGTCTGAGGTCTCTTTTGGCCCCGGGGTCTCATACAAAGACGTGCTTACAAGAAAATGGTTTAGGCAGAGCAAGATCGTCTTGATCTACAGCATCATCTCTGGTCCCTAGTGTTGGACGGCTGGCTAGCTCTAGGTCAGTTCCCTCGCTCTCATGCTCAAAGCTCGAGGGCATATGTGTGACGAAAGTGATTGGAGTACCCTCGACGAAAATCAAAGGAAACCCCCTTCAAGAACGGAAACTAAAATTAATCCATAGCCCCCATGAATGAGATCCCTCGCTACGTCCTCGACGTTGGAACAGGAACAGGCCTCTGGGCCATCGACTTTGCCGAGCAGAACCCGTCGTCGTACGTGATCGGGACCGACCTGAGCGCCATCCAGCCCACGCCGCGGACGCTAAACGTCCACTTCACAAAGGACGACGCCGAGGACGACTGGGTCTTTCCGCTGCCGTTGTCGTCGTCGGCATCGTCGTCATCGTCATCGACGTGCTCCTCCCACGATAGTAGCCAGCAGGTCCGCCGGATATGTTTCGACTACGTACATTTTCGACTCATGTTTTCCTGCTTTAATGACCCACATTTGGTCCTTAACCATGCGTATAACAGCCTTGTGCCCGGCGGCTGGATCGAGTTCCAGGAGTCGGCGCTGGAAGTATTTCAGGCGAATCCTGATTTTCCAGGTAAGCAAAAAAAAAAAAAAAAACCAACCACACAAGCATACTCCTATCGGCCGTTGCTGCGTCTTGAGAAGACAACAATCCAAACTTATTGATTAATATGTAGGTGATGCCATAATGCGCTGGACGGCGGGCTGCCAACGCGGAGCCGCCGCCATGGGCCGCGACATTGACGTGGCACGAAAGTACAAGGGATGGTTACAACAAGCAGGCTGTAAGTATCGAGAAGAAACATGAGAAATAACCATTTTACCTCCTTGAAAATAGGCAGATGAGTAACATTTCATCTTTTTAGTCGTTGACGTGGTCGAGAAAAAGATTCTCCTGCCCTTGTCTCCTTGGCCACAAGATCCCCAGTTCAAAGAAATTGGAAGATGGCAGATGCAAAACATGATTGAAGGGACTCGCGGTATCGGCTGGAAGATGCTCAGCGCCGCGGGCATGGCGTCGGACGAGATCGAGGCCCTGGTGTCCGAGGTGCTCACCGAACTGAGGAATCGCCAAAACCACTCGTACGCCTATGTGTAAGTATATGTATACAGAAACAGCAGATCATGGGCTCCTTCTTTTATTGCCTCTTGTCGAGTCTTGCTAATGTATCTGTTGCGTGTAGTTATGTTATCTACGGCCGCAAGCCGTTGGACGGTGAAGAAGTTGGGTTTCCTGATCAGCAGGATTCTTTCACATCTTAATGCAAGCGTCTGAGACTCAGCTATAGCTCCGTCACTGTTTTTACCGATCAATTGTATGAGATTGGACGACGATCCTCAAAGAAAAGTCTCAATACCATCATCTAGAATCTAGCAGACGATTCGGGGAGATATGCCCGGGACAAGTAAAGACATTATCGATACAGTACTGAAAGTACATAGATGTACAACAAATAAATTCGAGCTCATTGGATCAGTTAGTATTCATGTATCACATGTATGTAAGCACGGCCAGGAACGCGATGAGCGGCATTGTATTCCAAGTAGTAATATTGTTTCACTCCAGCCGTCCATGTACATGTGACTTTGATGGGATGTTTTCGAATCCCGAGGTTCCTTCTTTATGTACAAATTGGCACAACCTGTTACCCTTGAACACTAAGAAAATGTCCTTGCCAAATCTTTCCCCATTTTTTCGGAATTTCCACCCAGCCTCAAAACCCTCCCCTTTTCGCGAAGAAACACTCTCGGCCTTCCAATGCGGCAACAATCTTAGTACTGCTAAAAGAAATATAGGATAAGAAAAGTCAAGATTGAAGTGGTGGGTGGTAGAGTAGTAGGTTAGCCCCTTGCTACCATTAGATGTTGTAAATGTGTAAACAGAGTAAAGGAAATTTGCTGTCAAGCAGTTGGTAAAAGTGGTAGTGGTTCAGCGAATTTTTGGCCCCCCTCCTTCGTCCATAGACTCCAAAGGTTGAGGTCGAAGAAAGTTGGTGCCGTTATTTGCAGAGAAAGCAGTCGTCAAGTTTCGCGTGAAAGTAGAGACAGAAGAAATATGCAGCCGGCGCGATGCATTTTGCTGACCGAATTGATTAAAAAAGACGAGTATTGCGTAGCGACGTTGGGTATCACTCAAGTGAAAAATTTTGAATGAAAAGACATTCAAAGCATTAGAGAATTAGAAATGTCCTTTTTTCCCAGCTTATTGGCCAAAGGCCATGTGTTTTTGGTGCGCTTCTTGGAGAGCTAGGGTTATTGTCAGCAATTGTTTACAGTCATATGGTATGGAATAGTCATCATCGACTTACCGGCCAGTACGTGTTGCTGTCCTTGTCTGTCCTCGCAAGCAAGCTGCAAAGCAGATCCCGCGACAAAGTCGAGGCAGATGCTGTTAGGCAGCTCCTGCATGTCAACATCCGGAATGTAAGGCACCCGGAAATCGCTCAAGTGGTAACGCTTGAGTCCAGTCTTTTCCGTGCCATTAAGCGCATTCAGAATCAGGAACCCGTTGGTGTCGAGACACAGCGAACGTCTCTTCCACAGAAGGTTGTCCGGGAATTGAACATTGACATCTCCCATATATGAAGACAGAGCGGAAGCCGCGTCATCGGATCTTGCCATGAACACGCCCTCTGAGGTGGCCTCCTCTTCCTCACGTACCGTGGTAGGAGTGTTGGGAGATGCAGTCTTACGCGTGGCAGTAAGTGTGTTGGACAGGCGACGCATGAAGCGAGACGTCCGGCTGTTCGATCTCTTCTCTGTAGGACTACTCTTGTCGGCATCGTCTGAGCTGTGGTCTGTTGTAGCAGACGGAGACATGACTGGCGTAGCGTTCTCTCGGTCCTTGCTGAAAGACGAGCGACGACTCGACACAGAGAGACGTCGACCGCGGCTGCTTCCGCTGGCCTGGTGGACAGATGGAGGCCGCGACGACGACTTGATGGACGGCGCCGGTGACAGTATTGCCAGGTTGTCGGAAGATTTGCTGGCATTAGAGGAACGGCGATCCTTGATAAAGTCCTTAACAATTCCAAGAGACGATCGTCGCCTCTGCATTCTCTCGTCTTCAGAGATGGACGCTTTCCTGTCATCACGCGACATCCTTCTTTCTTGAATTGTCTCCTTGGGCTGCTCAACGGTGCGAAGGTTGGTTCCATCTTCATGGTGGGTAGTGATGGGTTCTGGCACAGCTTTGAGGTGATCTACAAACAATGGTGATTGTTTGAGGTCAGCAGTATTATACTCTGCCGGATCTTTGCTCGAGGGTCGCTTTGGGATCGAGTTCTGCCCATCTCGTACAATGCGAGCAGTGACCTGAATGGTGTCTGGCCGACCTCCCATTTGCTGGCCCCCGGCTTCAAACTTGGACAATCGACTAGCAACAGATCCCGATCTACCGCGAGTTGTAGGGCCCGCTGAGGCGTCAGGTGCAGGCGACACATCCCTCGACTTGCCCATGTCCGCTGTTGGTGAGTGAGGTGGCTGGCGTGTCCTCGAGCTGGCGCGGGACAGCGATGGTACAGGCGACTTGGAAGTTTCCCGAACACCCTGCTTACGAGTGTTGACAAGATTCGAAGCCGTGGCAACCCTCGACTGAGAATCTTCAGCCCCAGCCTTCTTACCCGAGAGTTGCTCCAAAGCCTTGATACGTTGTGCAATGCTAGAGCTCGTGGGCTTCTTGGTCGAAAGCGCTGCGCTGGATGGCTGCCGCGTCACGCTGTGCAATAGAGCAGCGCCACCGGCCGAAACACTACGGGCAGAACTCGAAGAGACATCGCTAGGAGCAAGGAGAGGACCTCGCATGGGCTGAGAGAACGTTCGTGTCGGTGTCACGCGTGTGCCCGCAACGGTCTGCGGCCTCTTAGGACTCGACGAGGGGAACACGGGAGTGATGGGAGACTTGGAGACGCTCATGGGCTGGGCTTCTTCAAAAGTGGCAGATTGCAATGCGTCCAAGAGGTCATCGTCAGGTACAACGTCGTGAAACGTTCCCTCGGAGTTATTCCTGCTATGAGTAGTGCGAATCGGTGCGACTGTGGCCCTGCGCTTTGGCAATACCTGTGACTCGGGTTCAAGGACTTCCTCTGTTGTAGTGATGGCAGGAGGCGTGACAACAGTGGGAGGAGCTGGGATCGGCTGCTCAACTGGGGAACGCAAATCTTGCGTCGAAAACTTTGACTTGAGGCTGGGGGTCGTAGGTGATTTGCCATCATTGCTGGCAAATCTAGAGACTGGAATGCCGTACGGTGACTTGGGCGAGGTGGGTGATGCAATATCATCCTTGTTTGACGGCACATCGATATCTTGTGTCCGGATATCTGATTTGTCGTTGAATTCATCGTCCTCGGCCGGCAGCTTGTCCTCTTCGGAAAGTGTCGACTCGTCCTTGGAGGCTTGCACAGTCTCGTCGGTTGATTCAGAAACTGAGGATGCCTTGGTGGATTCTCCAATCTCAGACGAAGCAATGGTGGGCGAAGGCGGGTGCGAATCCGTGAACGTATCTTCCGTTGCTTCCGTGGTCATCGTCATGGGCGTAGGCAGATCGGCAGTGATATCAGATTCAATGTTTGCCGATGACAACTCCTCCTCTAAAGCTTGCAACTCCGCTTTCCCTTCAACCGCTTCGGGAGCAGTGATGGATGCTGTGTCCGCAATCAGCAAGCTCAGCTTTTTCTTTTCTTGCCGCATCTTCATGGCCTTCATCAGTCTTGCTTTCTCGGGCGTGATCTTGCTTTCTTTGACAGGAGCTGTCGAGGTAACCGATTTCATGGAAGCGCCGGAGCTCGTGTTGGGTCGCGGTGCCAAAAGCTCGGCCTCGGACTCGGCTGGAACTTCGAGAATGGTTGTGGAAGCATTCAGAGCTGCTAGGTCAGACACCTCTTGCTCCACCTCATGGTCCTCATCTTCTGCCGTGTGGTCTTGCGATCCGGATCGGCCCCTTCTTGAACCCTTCGAAGCTAGTTTAAATCCTGCAGGCAGAGCAGCGACGGGCCTAAAGTTGCTAGCCGTGTGCGGGTTCTTGTTCGTCTCCAAAGAAGGCCGCGGCCCCAACTTGACCTTTGGCTTTCCATACGGATAGGAAGAATAATTGTAGAAATCCGGGCGCGCGCTCTGCGAAGACAATCGACCTTCACCTGGCGACATAGGACGTACACCCTCAAAATTCGGCTCCTCAGATGTAGAGGCAAAGTTGGGCTCCTTGGACGCCTCGATTTGCTCCCTATCAAGAACGACTGGCGGTTCTGGCGAGGAGAAGGGTGAGAGAGCAGCGTTGCTCCTGGGAGTGGTAGGCCTGTCCTCTTCCTCAACCACCGACTGCCTCTTTCTCTCCCTCTCTTCCTCCTCCTCCTCTTCTGTAATCTCCATGAGCCGGCGTCGGCGCAGTGAGCTGGTCGATGAGGAGCACGAGCCGGAGGCGGCATGCAGAGAGCACGCTGCCGACAACTTGGTATCCTTGAGCTCCTTGGCCTCCGTGATTTCGAACATGGTGCTGTATGGCGTGAATCTTTCGCAGACTGCGTTGAAGTGAACAGTTGCTCTGGCTTTGATTGGTAACAAATTGTCAGCTTCTCATCTCGAGTTTTGGGGGGTGTTTTTTTTTCCTTCGCAAAATTGATGCCACAATATGAACAAACTCACCTTGTATGAGCCTTGAACAGTCGTCAGGTTGGTACTTGAGAATGACGTTCCTCCTCCTGTATTTCAAGAAACCGTAAAGGGGCGAGGGCTCTTCATATTCGGCAATGGCATTTCGCATCTCAACAATGCCATTCTTTCCCTGACAGTGCACCTCGATCTCATCGCGACTCGCATATTTCAGAAGAAACCTATAAAGCACAATTGTGTAGGTTAGCGTATGCAGGTTCCGATAGTCGAGTGAGAAAAGCAAAGAATTTGAGCACATGTCGAAAGGGGCAGCGCGGCAAGGTAAACTCAAGGCGATTCGCCAATTGAAGTTCCATCAACAGCCAGCGCAAGCAAGCCACCGGCAAAGTGATTTCCTCGCTTTTTCGTTCTTGTCGCATTCGAGCTTGCGCAAACAACGGGTGTACATGAATCAACGTACCATCCACCAGCCTCTGCGACTGCCGCTTCGTACGCCTCCTTGACCGTCGCGGCATCCAACCCATTGAGCGACATAGTTGGGCCGTTTGGAAACCGACCCAATTGGGGGTTTGCGCCTGACTGAGTAAAGTTGACCGGACAGTGAGTTTAAAATTGACGTTGCTGCGATGAAATTTCTGGGCGACCGTTTGTGGTAATGGATTACACCTCGCTGGTGCAGCGCGGGGTGTCCCGTAACTCTAAGCGCACCTTGTATTCCCGTTTGATGCAGGTCAAAAAAAGATAGTGTTTATTCCATATATCTGGGTGGGTAGTTGCAGTGTGGTGTCGTGATCAAGAAGTTGTTGTTCCCGACATGTAGTCGACGGGCAGCAGAGGAAGATGCTGCATTCGGCGGCTCGGAATCTGGCAGCAACGGTGGCGGAGTGCCTCGTGTGTGTGTTCGTGTCTAGGTAAGGTAAGGTAGGTAGGCAGGTAGCTAGGTGGTTATAGCTGCAGCTTTTCTGTCTGCGCACAGCCAATCTAGCGTGCGGACAGGAGTCGGAGCTATTAGGTTGTCTGTCTGTCCCTTATTTCAGCTCGGAGACAGATGCTCAGGAGACGGACAGTAGAAGACAGGAGTTGCAGTGGCAGTGGGCACGGCAACTCGCTCGAATCCTGTATGTCTGAGCTCTGAAGCAGACGCTGATGACTGACAGACAGCGGCCGAAACGAAAGGGCGGGACAGCTACGGTGTAAATGTTTTGCCTCCACGGAATTATAGATAGGGGTCGAGAGAGATATAGGCCGGCGGGATCAGGGGCCAGGCGGAGCTCTGAGAGTTGATTAAAGATGGGGTTCAGGCGACTATTGTAATGGGAGTTCCCGCGCTTGTTGCCCACGCGGTTGCTGGGATCGTTTAACATAAGCTCCAGTGCTTCTAGAGAGTTAGTAGTTGGAAGGGAAGAGATTTGAGAAAAAAGTTCGATGATGCCGATCAATGACTCTAATTGTGAAGCAGGTACCTTGCTCGACCTAGGTACTGATGCTTCGCGATCCGATTAGGCACATATACATCTGATACCTGTTGAAATTGCTGGTTCAAGATAATTTGGCAACAGCGATTAAGATGTGTGTGAGTTTACCGAGGAGGGGCCTTTAGAGGAGGAGGCTCCAATGTCTTTTTTTTTTTCCTTCCCTCTTCCAAGTGATGAAACGCGAGAGGACAAGCACCCCTAGTTCTTCCGGGTTTCTAGCAGTACCTTGACCTGTCCTATCATGTCAAATATTCAACATGTCCAGTGGTACATAGTCTAGTTGGTGTGCAGGGTCCCTTTCCTCCCCCCTCCTCATCCCTTCTTTAGGAGATGAGGCCGTGGATGTCAAAAGTGAGAGCATCCACTAGCGTGGCGCTTGCTGCACGAAATAGCCGCTACAAAGAAAAGCCCACAGGTAGTCCACAGGTAGCTCTCGCCTTAAGAGGGTCCTGGTAGTAACCTGGCGGCTGAAGAAGCCGGACGAACCCATTTTATTAGAATTACCTACTCCCACTGTACCTGTTGGTAGAACTCCGCCTTTTTCTCGAAAGAAAGAAAGAAAGGACAAAAAGGAATGGAACACGACAACCCGAACCGTGCAAGCCTTGCTATCGAATTTCTGGCTTGTTCTTTTTGGCTTCCATTAATTATTCTCCAGGACTCGGGATGCTATGGTGTGTCTTCTTTTCTCATGTCTATCCCTGGCTAGGAACGTTCTTTGAATGGCATGGCCAAAAGATTGCCTCTTTTTCCCGACATACGCGAGCCCCCGGCCATTAGCATTGTCCACAGGCCCGCTGCGGGTTTCGTTTTTTTTGGCGCTTGCACTGCAGGTACGACGAGTACAACTGGAGACCTTTTTCTTACACGGACTTTGCTTGCACATTCCCCAGCAGCATTGGCGGGTTTGCCAGCGGCCCATCCAAACGGCGGGAATTCTTCCTCTCTTGCTCCCCTCTCTCTACTACTCAAGATACCTGAAGCCAATTCAGGACATACCCCAAATAACGCTTGTCCACGAGGGGACAGGGCATCCCGACGAGCATTTCCTCTTCCTGCTCTAGCACACTGCGCTAAATGTGATATCGCAGGTTTCCATACTCCCATCGGCCAATCTGGTACCAGAATGCTAGGAAATCCAGGCCCTATCCCTGCAGCTTGGATTCAATCTCTGTTTGCTGCTCCTTAGTTTGTTCTTTTTCATTTGCACCAATGCTTGCAACGAGAACGCATACTTTTCAAAATCGTTGCTTTTTGATTTCGTATCATGTTCATCTTGCCTGGTGGTAGTACACAGTGCCGACCTAAATGAAGTTTTAATTCATTGGCCAGTGCAGCCGAAACTCTATCTGATTTTGTACTCAATCCAACCCAAGAAAATAGCAGAGAGAAGTGCCAATAATACAGACGGCTGCAGCCGCATGAGAATCATCTCGGATGCTCCAGAAAACTTCATTCATCATGCTCAAATATGTCATTGGTTCGATTAAAAGCGTTCCAACCGTGTACCGCTGGAACTCAGTCACATACCGGGATAAACCTTTTGCAACACTGGTATTTAGTTCTATGTCCAAATTATACAGTACGGGATTGGTCGAAACCCCTTCTCCTTCGTACTACGTAGGTAGGCATATACCAGAATACTATAATATGGTCCTCATTACGTCCCCTCCAGGCCCTTGGGACTTGATCTTGAATCAAGTTCCCCATTGAAAGCGACAAGCCAGCCTTCATAACTCACCTCAAGGATTTTTATTTGGTCTCCATCATCGTGCTCGGATTGACCTTTCGTGATTTGACCAACATACATATGCAACCAACCACTGCGCTTTGACCTTGTTGATTTCTCTGTGTATTCAATGCACCAACCACAAATGAGTTCCCCTTCGAAAAATCCTGGAAACATATCTTCCCCTCTTCATACCCTTGTAGTGCTTGCCTGCCTTGGGGATTTCCAGCATTTGTCGTGAATGGGTCTGTTCATCAAGCCCCCGCACGTCAGCATGATTGGTACACTTTGAGGCTGGCAAGCAGATCTGCCCAGCTATGCTGGATTGCCTCAGAAGAATTCATGCAAAAAGAAAAACCCCATAATATGGTAAGAGGCACAACGGAGTATATGCGCAGAGGAACAACGTGAACATGATTTCTGGCATACAGGCCCTTGTTCATAAGAGAATAAATCTTTGTATCGTAGTCTCGTAACTATTGCTCTCTGGATTTCATGGAAAGGTCTACCCCATTCCGTTAATGCTTTCTGCTTGCTTCCTCCAAAGAACAAACGCTAGCCCTTCCCTACACTCACAGCTAGTGTATAGACTTACTTTACACCAGAGTACAGTTGCATTCCCGAGTTACACTACCAGCGCCCGTGCCTGAGATACATGTGGGGATTTTGAGCGCCATCTGTGTCTTCCGTAATATCATGATGAATTAAATATTCATATAGGCATACCTTTCGCTCTGATGATACTATCACGCCGTTGAGGCACGATGTGAGCCCCAGAAGCAGAAACAGTGCATTCGATTTGCAAATCAAACAGCGTCCATCGAGACAAAACACCGGACGCCCAGGAATCCTTCGTCTCGGCGGCGGGTTTAGACTGACAGCCTAGTTACCAGGTTTTGGCAGCGCTTCTTTAGTGACTTCAGGCGCGTCACTGTCCTCAGGAGACTCGGCGACCGACCCTTGCAGTGCAGTTGGCTTGAATGTCTCGTTGTCGCCGAGAGGTATAGGATCATGGCCACGGCCGCTGTTGCTACCTGATACGCCTACCGCTGGCTCACCACCGGCGATCTTTTGCTTGGTGATGCCAACGAGCTTGTCTGCCTCACTAACTTTGCCGAGCGACTCCGAGACGTCACTTTCCACTCCGATAGCCTTGTCTTTCTGAGTTTCCAGGAGTGCAACCTTGTCGAAACGCACTACCATACAGGACAAGTTGTCAGTGCTGAACCGAGCGAGTGCGTGGTCGACCAGTAGCTTGGCGGCTTGGATTGGGTCCTCAATGTTCCTGATCAAGTCAACGGCTTCCTGATCAGAGCAAACATCCCAAAGCTATGACAATATTAGCAACCCATTTTCATTTGAGGATGTGGTCTAACTCACTCCATCACATGCTATGATGATGAACTCGTCGATCTCCGGCTGAATAACTGTCTCGGTGGTGTAAGGATGACCTGTTACGAGATCCTTCATGTAGGTATCACCAAGGGCGCGAGTGACAGCCAAGACACCGTTCACCCGGTTATTCAAGATCAGGCCACCAGCATTAGCAATACGCTTGCCCTCATTCTCATCGCTACCCTTGTGATCGTAAGATAACCGCAGAGCCTTTCCAGATCTGCACAGAACAATTCTGGCATCACCGACATTTGCAGTATAAAGAACTCGCTGGCGGACAGCTGAGCCTTTTAGCTTGGCATGGGCAGCTTCAGGAGCAGTAGCCTCGCCGTCTTCCGGTTTGCTGTCTTTAGACCGTTCTTTCGATGCGGCAGCAGCAGCGGGAGCTATCGATTGAGAGCCAGTAGCTGAACTGAAGCTGGGTACGCGGTCCTCCCAACGCAATACGGCAATGGCTGCCGTGCAGCCGCTGTTCTTGAGGGGAAGTTTTTCAAGCTGCGCATCTGCACTTGTAAACGTCTGATCCAGGAGCTCTGGAATCGGCACATTGGGGTTCTTTCGAATCACTTCCTCGAGTATTATATGGACTTTCTTTCCGCACCAATCAGCAGCAAAAGTGCCGGCATGTCCGTCAAAGATGGCGAAATAGCCATTGTCCGTCTCAATCATATCTTGTGATGCGGGATCAGGATGCGAGTCGTTGGCCTCGCCGGACTTGCCAGATCGGGTGCTGTTGGCGTCGCCAGTGAGGGCAGGTGCCGGGGTGTTGAGGAAATTATACAGGAACGCATGTGTATCCTCCATGGTCCGCCTGCATTTCTTATTTCGATCTTCCCAGACTCCAACCCTGAAAGTGGATCGAGGGCCTGGGAGTGACTCGCCAGCAGAGTTGTTGTGCTGGCCCTGAGGCACGACCAAGGCAGGATCCTGCTTGCCCAGCTTCTGCAATGGCGTTTGAGAATTGCCGGTATCGCTGGACTGGCGACCGACCTGGGAAAAGTTCAAAGACTGCTTGGCGCTAGCTATGAGACTGCTTGCTTTGGATCCCACGGTACTACTCCGACGCTTCTTATCGCCATTACCGGTATCCGCTCGTCCAGTAGGGCTGCCATTGCCGCTGCGTTTTTCGCCGACGGCCTGTTCTGAAGCTTTGACTGCAACTCCGTCTGCCTTTGCATCGGGTGACGGTGACTTCTTCTCGTTCTTGCCCGAATCGACAGCTGAATCGGATTTAGAAGAGGCGGAGCTGGAACCGCCGCCGAACATCCTATTCAGCAGACCTCCTGAAGAGGAGAGACTGCGACGCTTGTTTCCTGCCAGATTTAGGGTGGTGAGAAACGTTGTAGAGCCAAAAGTGAAGCAGCGATTCTGTAAAGAGAATCTGCTACTACAAGGCCTTTTTGTGGTCTTGGTTGCGCGAAATCCGGAAGGGTATTATTGATATGTTGAGTTGCTGGCGGGAAACGGCTGTAGATGAAGGAAAAGAATATTGAGCAAGGATCGTGCTGCGAAAAGAAACCCAATCGTCGATATGCTCCAGGTTCCTATCGGACTGACGTCGCGCGAAAGAGAGGGGCCGGGCAGCCGGTAAATGTCGATAATCTAGTGGTATCGTTAGGCACTAGAAGGCGGAACCCTGATGTCAGAAGCGCCAGGTTTAGCTTCTCGTTCCAAGGGTCTTTTTTGGAGTGGTGCTGGGTCTGGTGGATGTTGAGGAGATTGGTGGATGAGGCAAGAACGAAGCCACTTGGAACGAGACAAGGGAAAAAGGAGGCTTGGTGGTTGACAAAGGAAGCCTTGGGTTCTCGAAGATGCAGGTGGGCACAATGGGATAGGAGGCAGATTCGCATATCTCGCCAGGCGGATTTGCGAGGTGCTGATGGGCGCAAAATAGGCCAGCACGAAGAGCAACGAGCGACCTTGCGACACCCACTGAAGGTGATGACCTGGTATGACGCAGGGACCAGGTAAACGGCGAACGTACCTAAAGCTCCAATGCCAGGAGGAGAGAAGATATAATAATGTAGTTACTGCGAGTGTAAACCTTGAAACGCTTGGGTGGTTCAGAGGTTGGGGACAAGGCCAGGGAAAGGCGTGACCGGATGGTTGGAATCAGGGGGAGAGTCGTTGGTGGTTGTGTGATGCAAAGAAGATCACGTTGCCTGTTGTGGATGAATCGTGAAGTGACAGAATAGCACTGGACCTGGGAGGCTGAGAGAGAGCGTGGGGTATGTTCAGTTTGGCGGGCAATGAAAGTGATTGGGATCCGCTCACTTCCAGAGGTCATGGACGAGGGGTAGGGGAAAGTTGGTCCGTGTGCCAGTCGGAGTCCCGGCGATTTGGCAATGACGCGCGCGCCGGAGATTGCAAACAGAGCGCATTCAGTCTAGGCGCTGGATTTACCGAGCTGGGGTTCCTTAATTCATTACTAATGTTTTTATGGAATCGACAACTTGGTATTGTAGTACTGCGAAAGTGCAATGCGATTCTGGCTCTTTCTTTTAAACAGAAGCCATTGGGATTTTGCGCTTTTTTACATGCTTGATTAATTCCCCCCTTGGCCCTTGATTGGACCACGCACAGCACCCCAATTGCAACCCAAACACTGTTGGACAAAAACCTGCCCGAGGCGTAAGGCATAGTTGATAAGGCCTGACCGTTGACTTTAGCTTACTGTACAACTTGAATGCACTAACCTTATAATATCCCACTAGGTGTTTCTGTTTCGTAACTTGAATAGGATCAGTATAAAATTCACGTGTCCATATATTTGGCTGCTTCAAAGAAGTTCGAATATTTGCGAGATCGTACTGATGTACACATGTGCTATCGCTCAAGTAGGTAGATCATATTCTCGAAGCTGTATACGTAGGTATCTACTTTGCCCCGGCCGTGCCCATAGTTTGACCCTCCCTACCATTGACAGGTAGCATTGCATTTAGACCAAATGCTTTATGGTATGCATAAGTGTCGTCATCTGCAACCGCGGAGCGTTCGGCCCGTTGCTTCACCTTTCCCCTGCTCAACAACTTCCATCAAACTGAGTAATTCCGGCAATTTGTCAAGTTGAACTGTTTAAATACTTATATCCAATCATGTCAGAGGGCATACTGCGGCCAGCCTTCCAAGGCCGTGAGAAACCCCTGATTAGTTATGGGCTCCCCTTTGATCAGGCTCTGGCAAAACACGTTGAAAGTATATTTCATGCGTCTCGCGTATTTCTCATTGTATCAAAGTCTCTGGCAACGAATACATCCTGCTTGGACGCTGTCAGAGCCGCACTCGGGGAGAAACTGGCTGGTATTCGCATTGGTATGAAACCGCATACGCAATGGACCGAACTCGTCGAAATCATCACGGCCTCCCGGTCCTGCAATGCAGATCTTCTCGTCACCCTGGGTGCAGGCAGTCTCACAGATGCTGCAAAGGTGATCAGTCTTGGGCTGGAAAATAAGGTAGAATCGATGCATGATCTGGAAAGACTACACCCTGAAGGAACAGGACACTGCGACGACACCAAGATTGCCACTACTCCTGTGGTCTGTATCCCGACTTCACTCTCAGGTGGAGAGTACTCTGCATCGGCGGGCGCAACGAATGATGAGACGGGAAGAAAATGGGCATTCTCGTACCAAGCCGGCGTCCGGTGTCCGCATCTCGTCATTCTAGACCCCGAGCTCAGCGCAACCACTCCAGAGCATATATGGCTTTCCACTGGCATCAAGGCTGTTGATCATTGCGTCGAGACACTTTGCTCTCTTGGAAGCGACGGCGAGGCAGATGAGGATGCACGAAAGGGGCTCCGGCAGCTCATTCCTGGGCTGCTTGGGTGCAGGAGAGACAAAGTGAACACGGCTAAAAGGTTGGAATGCCAGTTAGGCGTGATAGATGCAATGAGCGCGTGTTCACGGGGTGTTCCGCTTGGTGCCAGCCATGGGATTGGGCATCAGCTCGGCCCTGTTGGCGTGGGCCACGGGGAGACCAGTTGTATCTTGCTCCCAGCAGTTTGCAGGTATAATTATACGGTAGGTGCCAATAAAGATAGACAGGTCGAGATCGCCAAACTCCTGTGGGGGATTCCCGAGGCGATAGAAATATTCCAGCAAAGAAATTTCAAGCAGGAGCAGACAGATCTAAGCGATTTGCTAGATGCTGTCATTCGGGCTTTGGGTATGCCACGGTCGTTGAAGGAGTTTGGCATCAGCGAAGATAGCTTGAATAGCATTGCTGAGCACAGCCTCAAAGACCGATGGGTGCAGTCGAATCCTGCAAATCTGGACAAGAATGGCGTTCTTGAAATCTTAAGAATGATAACGTAGGACCTATACTACGCAACGCAGATACCATGAAACAAATGCTGCAAAGTCATAAACCCAATGCTGTGAATGTCAAACCATGTCCCAACTCCGTATCATCAAACACTAAACTCGACATCAAGCCATATGCTGTTGCGCTGCATCTTTGGCACTCGTCATAATTAGGGGATCACTTTCCCAGGCTGTCGAGCCGTGCTTGGAGGTCATCATCACCCGGATCGCCTCCGCCTCCTCCACCACCGCCACCACCTCCAATAGCCTGAGCCACCCGGCCCTCGGCCAACTTATCAGACTGCGACTGTAGGCCAGTAGGTGTTTCGCCAAACTGTAAATATAAAGTCATTAATAGGCCATCGTGACGAATATGTGCTCATGGTGTCGCTTACCTTCTGATTCAAATCCACACCTATTTCCTCCAAAACCTGCTCGACAACCTCGTCACCTTCCTCCTCAAGTCCAGTATCCATCGCGTCATCAATGGCATCGTCCATCATCTCTTGCCTCTGCTCCATTATGTCGTTCTCGCGCTCGAATTCCATGGCGATTCGTTGAAGGGCAGGTAAGTTCATGGTGCGGTTCATGCTGCCCAAAGCCATTGTCGCGCCCTTCATAGATTGCATCATTTGCTCGTTCGTTCGGTGTGTCTAACGCATATCAGTGGCTGCTCTGGATGGCCTAACGTTTTCAATGAACATACCTGCATGCGCAGCGAGATCTTCTGCAACTGACTGCGCATACCGTAGAATTTCTCAATGTATCGCCTCGTTCGCACCAAGTCCTTTGCTTGGATCTTTGCTGCCCCCATCTGACCCTTCTGGGCACTCTGCTTGATCTGTGTGGTGAGAGTCTTTTCCTGCTTCTCAAGCTTGACCCGGACTTGGTCGAGCTCTCGGATCGCCTTGTCGAGCATGCGCTGATTCTTGCGCAGACGCTCAGCCGGCGTCATGCGCTTGCCAAATGCCCACTCGAGAATCTATCAATGCCAGTCAGTTTTGAAATGCGCCGAGATACCTGGAACGGGCAGATGCATACATTCATGGCGACTAGCGATAAGCCACAGTTGGCAGACTGTCTATGGTGGGGTTGAAGATGGTTGTAGGCTTGACAAGTCTTGGTGATGCCTCGCTGTAATGGATGGACTGGCAAGATTGGAGTGGTTGTGATGATGCGCTGCTTTGAGGGGGTAAATCGCTGCTGATAATGTAGAAGCCTGGTCGTCCTGGGAAGTCCGTTTTCGTAGTTCCAAGAGCTCCTTGCGTCGTCGTCTGCTTTCGTTGGTTTGGTTTGGTCTGGTTTGGCCGGTCGGTTTGCTTGGCAGCATGAGTTGGTCCCTCAGGCAGTTACGTAACTCTGCCCAGGCTCCATGAATCGAATGTTGGGCTAGCCTGGATTTGGAATGGCTAAGACTGGCGCCAGCTGGCTACCTCAAGCTGGTTGCTCGTGGTTGTATCGAGGGCGGCATGTCCAGCCAGTTGAGTGCGACCCAGTAAAAAAACTCAAGCGCGTTTTTTTCGCATTACAGGTTATTAGTCATTTAGCAGGGAGCTGCCAGTTTAATTGCTTGATTCATGACGTGTTTTTCCGAGCTCCACGGTCTGTTGCCGCCAGTAACCAATAAACCCTGCGCCTTGAGATTTCGCCTTCTCTGATTCAATGCAGGAGCGACCCGGAGCGCTGGGACGAAAAGAACTCCCGTGATTCTCTCGCTCACCACCCTCGACAACTCCGACACTATATATACACCATCCATCGGTCGATTCTGGTCGCAAAAGCCAATGGATCCCGACGACATCTAAAACATGAGTCAAGAATATTACCCACGGAAGGGCAAAGGCCCCAGCAGCGCGCGCGACGATGACAATGAACAAGCGGAACAACATGACGCCACAGACTCAAACACCCCCAACGGAACGCCGGGTTACATGCAGGTTGGCTCAGGCTCTACATCGCAACATGCTGCAAGATTGCAAGAACTGCTAGAGCAGGATTCAGGTTATGGAGGCAGCATCATGGACGGCAGCTCTGGCTCCAAGAAGTTTTCCACTCTGGGCTCACCGCGCACCGATCCCAGCTTTGGCGACAATCCCATTCTCGCCGCAACAGCAAACACCGAGACCGATCGCCGCGCCCAGGATGCGACAATCCACCAGCTATGGTACAACCAACAAAGACTCAAACTTGGCCGTTCCATCAACAAGGTTGTCGAGCTCCTCAAGAGCTTGCAGGATTTGAACGTCACTTGGCCTGCCCACTATCCCTCCGTGCAAAGGGCCGAAAGCACTGTCCCTACGAGCGAACGAGACCGACGACCTTCTTCTTCCGGAAGACCCAACTTCCATCACACACACTCCATGTCTGGTGAGCCTTCGAGCTCTCGCGCTTTTCCGCCTCTGCGACGATCTATGACGAGTTTCAACGAACATGACGCTGCCGAATCAAGCAAAGATGCCGAATCAAAGAGCATCGCAGAACCACGACTCGTATCGCCTCAGATTGCTCAAGAGTTTTCAATCCTCAAGCTTGACCTCAAGTTGGGCGCACTGCACCAGACAGAATTAGTCCACTCACTAGAGAAGGGATCAATCGCTGCTCTTCTCGATGGAAAGATTAGTTCAAGCATCAAACACCTTCAGTCACTAAGAGAAAGAATTGATGATACGTCCAGCAAGGTCTTGATCACTGGAGATTTGAATGCTGGAAAATCGACCTTCTGTAACGCGCTACTGCGCCGAAAGGTTCTACCTGAAGACCAGCAGCCCTGCACCAGCATCTTTTGCGAGGTTCTTGACGCAGCGAGAGAGAATGGTGGCGTCGAAGAAGTTCACGCGGTGCACAAGAATGCCACTTACAATCGCCATGATGAATCAACTTACGACGTCTTCTCCCTTCAGCAGCTTGAGGACATTGTTGTGGACAACACCAACTACATGCTGTGCAAGGTCTACGTTCGGGATGTGCGAACACTCGACGAATCCCTTCTTACGAACGGAGTTGTGGATATTGCCTTGATCGATGCGCCTGGTCTCAATTCAGACACGACCAAGACGACCGCTGTTTTTGCTCGCCAAGAAGAAATTGACGTCGTTGTATTCGTGGTATCTGCCGCCAATCACTTCACCATGACAGCAAAGGAGTTCATTTGGGCGGCAGCAGCCGAAAAGGCGTATCTATTCATCGTGGTGAACGGATTCGACGGTATCAAAGCAAAGGAACGATGCCAGAAGATGATTTTGGATCAAGTCAACGGTCTCAGCCCCCGGACCTTCAAGGAGTCCTCGGAACTGGTACATTTTGTTTCCAGCAACGCAGTCCCAACGGCGCCGCCGCCTGGCGGTCCTGGTGGTAGTGGTAGTGGGAGCTCAAGTGGAGGGGGAGGCGGCGACGACCCTGACAGCGATCCAAAGGGCAAGGGCAAAGACAAGGAAAAGATCGCCGACTTTGAAAAGCTTGAGCAGTCTCTGCGCAGGTTTGTTTTGGAAAAGCGAGCACGATCCAAACTCGCACCCGCCAAGACATACTTGACAAACATTCTCAACGACGTCAATGTGCTCGCTACTGTCAATTCAGAAGTAGCCCAGGCTGAATTGGACAGAGTGATTCATGAGCTCGAGGAAATTGAACCTCAACTTGATGCATCGAGAAAAGCCAAATTGGAGGTCAGCGATGAGATTGACAGGACCATCGAAGAAACATGCAAGGACATTTATGATAATACGAGGAACGCCCTGAACCGCGCTCTTGTCGATGCCGGCGAAAGTAACCTTGGCGTTCCTTACTCTGGCATTTTCAATGCTTTCCAGTATGCTGAAGAGCTCAAGGAAGCCATGTTGTCCGAGATTCAAGAAGCTGTCAGCATGTGCGAAGAGCACGCCAGGACTAAGACCGTTGATGGCGTTGAGACCATCAAGCAATTGGGCGTTCACCATCTTGGTGACGAATACCATGACCTGAATTTCCGCTCTGATGTCATGTTCCGACGCCGGCGCGATGCTCTTGCGAAGCAAATCGACATTCCCACTGAATTCACGGATTTTGTTGATTGGTCCACATTGATGCAGCGTCAAGAAAAGGTCGCTGGCACCGGAATGGCCCTGACAGTGGCAACGGCTTTGGGAAGTCGAATGATCGGTGGTTCTAGTTGGTTGGATCATACTATGAGTGCAGCAAGAGTCCTTGGTAATGACAATCTTCGCCGACTGATTGTTCCTGGCCTGATCGTAGCGAGTAAGTTGATCTATTTCTGAACATCAGTCTGAGCCCATGAACTGAAACATTCTATAGTTGTCGGAGCTGCCGCATATGTGCTACAGCAGATTCCTCAATCTTTGCCTCACCGACTGTCGAGCAAGATTGCAGCACAATTGGAGGCTATTGATTATACGCACACCAACAGTGCTCGCATTTCTAGCTCCGTCCGCAAGGTGCTTCGATTCCCTGCCGACAACCTTCGCGTCGGTCTTCAGCGCTCGGTCGAACAGCTCGGCGCCCGACGGGATGAAACCCTGAAGACGAAAGGTGAAAGTGAAGTTGCCCTCAAATACTTCGGCAACCTCGTCCGCGAGAGCTCGGCACAACGAAGAGTAGTTGAGGAAGTTGACCTTGAGGCTCATCCTCAGGGCCCGATTCCTGGCATGACAATTTCCTAAAAATTCCTACTTTTTCTTGTTTTATCAAATCAAAAAAATGGCATATGGATGGCGTACGGGTTTCGCGACATACCACTTTGTTTCCGCCGAAAATACTATGGCTTGTTGTTCTTTCTTGTAGAAACAGTGCATTGGACTTGGAGGAAGCTAACATAGATCATACACTCATTTGAGTGTTTGGATGGTCGAAAGGCGACGCCAATGGACAACACCCTACTCATTTCACTTCTGTTCCTAATTAGGGTACTATAAAGAGGAAAATAGGTTGAACGACGAATTCATGTTTCATGAATACTTGTACGAGAGAATAACTACATCACAAAAGTGTGTCTTGACAATCCAATTATGTGAAATGAATAAATTGTGACGGCCGACTCTGAAAGCCGAGGGGAAATTACAACTGAAGATTCATTGTCCTGTAATAGCTGGCAACACTTCCCAGCCAAGCCACGCCGTCCCCTCTTGTGATGCCATTCGCATTGCCACTGAACTATTTTATGGCCTCTAAAGTCCAATCCCACCACATCAGATATGGAGCTATCAGTCATTTCAACTTGTGTTGCTGACCAAAAAGATTCTTTTGCCACATCCCTGGCGAGACGCATTTTCAGTTTTTGTTCAACTTTTCTTCAAGTGCATTCCAAGACCAGAGGGAGCCTCTGTAGTCCTTGGTACATTGATCGAGCGATATGAAATACTGCGATTGGGTCTTTCCTTTTTCTCCTTTTCGCCCCTTACATCAAGAGATACCTGTATTCGAAAAGACACAAATGTCTATTATTGCAAGCGTGCAGGAAACAGATTGAGGAAAGAGCGTGATATGACCCTACCATGTAGAACCCTATACTACATCTCTGTATCATGATCATGACAACGAATCCTCACCATTCAATAACTTGACCAGACCCTCGAAGTAAACAGCAACTCTTTGATCAGAAATTCGACCACCCAAACACACAGGCGAGATTCGCGCTGGATCACGCTCGTGCCCAAATTGAAGAAAAAAAAAAAAAAAAAAAAAAGTGAATAATTTGTTCCTTCCTTGACTTGGACTCAAAATACTTCTCTATACAACCTCACTTCCGACAAGCCTGCCTATTGCTTGAACCACCTGTCCAGTGCCTGCAACTTTCTTGTAGACGAACAGACAATCCAACTTTTCATCTTTCTTCCAATCACCGTCCTTCTTGCCCAATTTCTTCAGTTAATAGCCGGTTGTTGCAACTTTGGCATTGCAAACGACAACAATCATCCACCTTTCCCACCCCTTTCCACCCGTTCTGTCCAATCTTTTCAACAATCGATTTCTGGAACTTCCGCAAACGCGACAACAATCTGAAAATTTTACAATCTCATTCCTGATCACATTGTATTCAAGGCCGGGCACGATTCAGCTGCCACCATTTAAACAGCTTTACTTCTTTCCCCAGGAAGCAATTACTTTCACCTCTTCTCATCAACATTCCGCACAGCTCCAGAGTCGCCTCGTCTACTTCGCCCAGGCTTTTCGGTAGTATTACTCTACTAACAGCTGCCCGACTACTAGGTAAGTTATACTCTCGCTTCTCCACTCCTCATGTGCAAGTAGACGGCATGACGGGTATCAACTCTGGGGAAGGAACGCTAAGCTGGATTCCCGCAGTGAAATTCCCCACAGTTTGCGCTAGACACCCCCAGCCAATCAGAGAAGCCATGGCGCCGCTCGACAGTGACTTCGGTGGCGAGGCGGCTGGTCTGCTTAACGAGCTGGCCTGGGACGGACCTCCCAGACGCTCAACTCGTGAGAGAAACACCACATCATACTTCGCTGCCGAGCTCACTGAGCCTACCCGCAAGCCCCGACAGGCCCCGAAGCGCAAGAGACAGGTTGCAGACGAAGCCGAGGACGACGACGCAGAGCTAGACGAGATGCAGATCGAAGTAAGTGGCCCACAATGTCCCGTGTCGCGCACGCGTCTTTGTTGGCGCGTGAATGAAGTTATCGCGAATCTCTGTGCGCAACCCAGTTCACTGACACCATTGCACCTCAACAGCGGAAGGTCAAGCTCGTCACCGAGCAAAAGAACATGTGAGTATACATGGCCTAATTCTCTATCCACGAGGACGCGATTGTGCGACGGATCACAATACGCGAGACCAGCTCAAACTTGGGCGCAAAGACTAATGCTGCTCGACCCTCTAGTGACAAGGAGTCGCCTGTTCCCGAGTTTCCCATGAAAGAGTGGAATGTCAAGATTTATATGGTCGATCAGGATGGCAACGAGAAGCCCGCCACCGCCTTCAACAAGGTTACCTACAACCTCCACCCTTCCTTCGAGAATCCAAGTCAGAGTACGTCGCTGCGCCATAGCCCACGATCCGTTCGACTCGATACTAATGTGCCACGATAGCATTCACGGAGCCTCCTTACACTTGCAAGAATGAGGGTTGGGGTGAATTCGAAATGTCCATCGACATGTACACCACTGAGAAGACCAAGTGCACTGTCTACCACGACTTGAACTTCCAGAAGCCGCGCTACGAAACTATTCAGACGATTCAGATCAAGAACCCTTCGCAGGCTTTGCTGCAGATTCTGCGCGAGACTGGCCCGGTTGCTAGCGACGATGACCCAAAGCTCGCCAAGGCTCGCAAGGCAAACGATGGCAAGAAGAGAAAGGCTGGCTACGATTTCGAGAAGATGGCTGATGGACTCACCAAGCTCGGCGAGGACGAATTGCTCCACGTCATCCAGCTCATCCACGACCACAAGAATGAAGACACCTACACCAAGAATGACATGGACAACGGCGAATTCTCGGTTGACCTCTTTACCTTGCCCGATAATCTTGCCCGACTGATTTGGGACTTCCTTGTAAGTCCAACCTGAGCTGCTCAATTCTTGATGGCATGCTGACAGTCACTTAGCTTGAGCAGAAGCTTGTCTCTGCATAGTAATGCAGTACAGAACTGCAGTTTCCACGGTTCACTTGGGCCGATATGAGGGTTACCGGGATGTTTCTTTGTTTCTGCATTGCGGGGCGTTTATTAAATGGTCAAAAGTCAAATGATCCGGCGGTTATTTCCGAGTTGACTTGGGCGGGCCAGTTGGGTTCGAAAGCTTGAGAAACTGGTGATTCGAATGGTGATGGGGGTTGGCCCGATCTCCCTTCGGACAGAGTACGAGGCGATTCGGCTGTCGTGGTCTGATTTATTCTGTCTTGGTCTCGGCCGTTACCTACTACGTCGACCCTCCTGCTTGATGAATTCCTTGGGCGATGACAAGCAGAGAGTCAAGCTTTAACTAATACAAGAATAGCGGCAATGATGATGACTCGGGAGTTTGAAAGCGGCGATACCTAGAAATGGATGCTGGCAGACCAGGTTGCGATCAACAGATGGATACCCAGCAAATAACTGAATAGGGAATTTCGATACTATATCGCAATACATGATTTAAGGGTAGTTGACTTTTGACATAGTTGTGATTGCTCTGGTGCTGGTTTCATATTATGTGAAAGAAGACAAATAAGACTTATAAAAAGTGATGTGATATTGCTATAAAACCTATATGATATACATATAAGTAAGCTACGAGGAATGTATAGTATATTGCACTATGCCATGTACAGCTTTCAACATGGATCGGCGTGGTCAGAATATGCCATATTGATACATAGACCAAGCAGTACGGGGAGTTTTTATCATTTCTATACGCCATGTATATGCTTGACAATATTTTGATTCAAGATGCTTCCTGGATAAGAAGGAATCAGTGAGCACTATGCCATATCCGGAGCGCTGTCATCACGCATGATCACGCTCGGAGTGTTGTGTTAAGGCACGAGGCGTCTATCGAACGTTTGAGGAATGCCTACCTAGTAGTCGAAGCAGCCAGAAAGTGGCTGGACGAATGAAGGCGCTGAGAATAAGCGTGGCGGCGCCGAAAAAGGCAAGCGGGCCTCGCGCGTTTCTCATGGTTTCCCTTCACCGCCATCCTTGGCTTGTACATTCTGGGATTGGACAAGATGGGGAGAAAGAAAGCAACAGACAGCAAATACAGAGAGCTGTTACTAGCTGCCTCGAATTCGTCTGTACGTTTGTAGCGAGAATACTGTGTACTAGGCATTTTCCAACCAAGCCTTGGGGCCGGACCATTGCAGCTCAGATGGAAGGTCAGCAGTTATTGGCACATTAGTTGCAATCTACGGCAAGGCCTCTCCGCCTTCCCCGGCGCACTGAGCGTTAGGCCGGACATTTCGGTTAGCGGGACCTCGTGACTTGACCTTCCTCCTTGAGCATACGGTGAGACGAGGTGAACATGATGGGCGCCAAAAGTGTGTCAAGAAAAGGTCTTCTAGACGTTTTCTTGCCATTTTCTTACAAATCTCAAGCTGCAGCTAAGACGAGAGGAGAAATCAATTGCTAATCTTGCCCGTTAAACTAGTAAGTAACACGAGAGTGCATAGTCGGTTAGAATGTGGGTAGGTTCGTGGGAAAAGCCACATGATCACGATGTATGCTGTGCTCGCGTACAAGGATAAGGGCAAAGGTGAAGGCGGAAAACAATAGCATTATGGACCGGCAGTGATGAAGATTTTATTTGCTTTCTTTTCAGTTACCGTTTCGTGTAAAACGTGTTCATTCTTTTGGCCTTCTAGAATCCAAAATCACCACATTTCTCAGCCAATCCCAATCTTTCTCCAGCGCGGGGAACCCCCAAACTTACTACAGCGTCTACTTGCCTCGTACTGGCATTACGCTACCGGCACTTATACCTGTTTCGTCTTTTCAAGTCGATACTTTTCTTCCTCTGATTTGGTGAGCTTGCAACTAGTACCAACCAACGTCCAAGGAACAGGCATTGGCGCCAAAGTTGAACTGCACCTATGATACGCCGTTTCAGAGGCTGACAATTGCATTGTTGAGGTCCGGACTAGTTACATCGGCCGCCCTCAGCTGACCTGTCAGTCATCAGTGATTGGGATCTTCCGAACGGCCCGTACGCCAACGTTTCCTTTGCATGTCATTGTTCTCGCGAGTGTCACAAAAAAGCTCGGAGCGCCAAGGGCACTGTGTCTGCTTTCTATACTGCCCAAAGCAGTACCGCCGGTTCATGCGACCTTCCGAAGCACTGGTTACCATATCCAGGTAAAAAGGCACCAGAGGTACTGGACCTAGGTAGTCTCTGACCCACAGCAGGCGAATATTGTACATTAGGTATACCGTCCTTTATTAGGATACATGTACAGAGTATGGGCCTAGCAGTCTGTGTCTGACTGTACTGTGTGTTCTTATCTCACCAAGCATCACACAAGTGCCACCTGTTGCGCGCTTGTTCTCTGTTGGTATCCCGGACTTTTTCTTAGTTGCAAGGGCTGTATACAGCAATACAGGTTTGGCGCCGCGAGCCCGCTGCAGTAAGGACGTGCAGGCAGCCGCAGATCGTGGAGGCGGCGCACTTGGCAAGCCTGATAGGGGTGTTGCTGGTCGGTTCTCTTGGGTAGAACCCCGCAATACACCACCATCTTCCCCTACCGACTGATCGACCTAGCTCTCATAAACTGGTCGGTGTCCCACTCGACTCAGTTCCAGAGACATAAGCCCTCAAAACCCGTCTCAAGCCGAAGCGCATCGCATCCTCCTCTAGGTGGGGTGGTATCGAACCACCAAGAATCGCCCTCAAGCAAGTAATTGCCCAGGTATCCTGTTAATTGAGACGGGCCTTCAGGGCTCAGCGCCCCGGCGGCGACCATGTCCCAGTACGCCGTAACTGCTGCTGCTGCTACCAGTGTCTCCAATACCGCGGAAGACTCTGCTCCTCCTGCTGCCCACCACCAGCAGCAGCAGCAGCAACAATCACCCGGAGCACAGACAGAATCCCAACCTCATCCATCACAAGCGGGTGCGCTGCCACCCGTACAGCACAAGCGAGTATACCAGGCGTGCATTCCGTGCCGTCGAAGAAAGGTCCGCTGTGACTTGGGCAGTGTCGACAACCCTCACGAGCCTCCATGTGTACGATGTCGAAGAGAAAGCAAAGAGTGCTACTTCAGTGCCACTCGGCGCAAGCGCAAGAATGATGAAGATGGAGAAGAGGACTACATCATTCGCAACGGACGCAAGAGACATACTCTAGACGGCTCGCCACCCCCAACATACCACAGACAATCGTTCAGTAATGTCCCACTCACGCCTGGAGGCTCTACCGGACGAACACAACCTCTTCGTCGTCCGGATAATGAGCGGCACGACAGCAAAGGGAGCTTCTCCGACATTGGAGAAGATGCGAGCGCCCGCTTGGAGAATCTTGAAGCTCAGACAGTCATGAGAAGGGAGGTCTATGGCCCGCACGACGCTTTGGACTTGCTTTACAAAGCCGCGACCGACCATCCCCATGCGCACACTCCAATCGAAAGCGTCCCGACATCTACTTCTGTGCAAACGAAGCCACAGGTCCCAGCGTCTAGTCGTCCGCCTCGGGAAACTGCTCCCAACAGCCGATCCACTGCCCGCAGAGACGTGCGATCTGCTGAACCAATCGACCCGCGTTTGCTGCCTGCAGCGAATACTCGGGAGGCCGAAAAGGCCGAGATCGAAAGGAGGGTTGATGTGAGCCATGAAGAGGGTTATGAGGATGCCCTAAAGGCCTGGGGCAGATTCCGCTTTGTGAGAGCAGGCTGGTTCACTCGAGAGGAAGCCGTGAAATACGTCACTTAGTAAGATTCGACGAATTTCTGTGCCTGTATAATGCATTGCTAATGTATCCATTTAGCTACTACGAATTTCTGTCGCCAATGACACCTATTTCACCACCCACCTATCGTCATCCTGCATCACATCCTATCCTTCTGACCGAGGAGCCTATTTTGACCGTCACGCTACTGACAATTGCTTCGAGATATTATCAAATCACTACAACTGGTGGTCATTGCCGCTCACATGCCATTCATGAGGAGCTCTGGAGATATCTGCGTCGCATGATCGAGCGATGTCTTTGGGGTCAGGAGGCCTTTGGTGGTGGCTTTTGTGGTTCAGGGGCGGCAAACCAAACGTCCAGCACTGCACCCGAAAGAGGTCTCAGAAAAGGAAGTTTGCGCACTCTGGGGACTATCGAGTCTTTCATGATCTTGACTGAGTGGCATCCCCGGGCACTTCACTTCCCACCAGAGGAAGCCATCGATGAGCTTATGCTCCCTACCTATGATGAGTCACTCTTGGCAGGCGAAGAGGATGTGCATAGGCATACCGCAAACCACATCCCCGGCGGTGGACGGAGGATCGAGGGTTGGCTCGAACCTGCATGGAGAAGCGACCGTATGTGCTGGATGCTGCTGAGTACTGCCATGGCTCTTGCGTACGAGTTGGGAGTTTTTGACAACATTGATGTCGTCCTTGCCGAGATCACCCGACCGGAATATGAAGACGAAGGTTACCGGCTGCGTGCTACGAGAATCAAGCGCCTACTCATGATCTATCTGACACAGCTGGCTGGGAGACTCGGTTGGACAAATATGGTGCCTGAGAGTATCCGGACCACGGACCCTTACCACTCTGGTGTCCGACGACCAAATTCACATGAGGGCAACACACCGGGGACAAACATCTCCAATATTTCCAATGTGAATTACGTTCCAGATATCGAGCTTGATGACCAAATAATTCACTGCTGGGTCGGAATCAGCACTGCCATGCACAACGGCAATCAAAAGCTCTTCCGGTCGCACAAACATACGACTCACATCATTCAAAGCGGAGAGTACACAACAGAGTTGCAGAAGTTTCAACCTATTTTGAAGGATTGGTGGAAGACTTTTGAGCAGATTCGGATGCCTACCTTTATACGCCATATTCTCACCATTGAGTACGAATATGTTCGAATCTACGTCAATTCGCTTGCTCTCCAAGCAGTGGTTGAGAGGTCGACATCCAATGCGGGCAATCCGCACAATACCCTAGCCAACTTCAACAGTACTATGGGCTTGGCTCCGACCCAAACGCAGACACAGAACCTCCTGGGTGCTTTGCCTCTTGGCACCCTTGGCGGATTTGGCGCAGAGGACCAAGAGTTCATCAAGGAAGTCGTTAATGGCTGCCGCAACTTGCTCAGGACCGTGGTTGACGGTCTCTTGCCTGGAGGCTACCTCAAACATGCCCCAGTCCGGACGTATTTCCGAATTATTAGCGGGGCTATGTTTCTTCTCAAAACATTTGCCCTTGGCGCGCCGAGATCTGATGTAGAGCTTAGTATCTCTCTCATGGACCGCACTGTAGCCGCATTGAGAGATTGTGTGGTTGATGATGTACACTTGGGAACTCGGTTTGGCGACCTTCTAGAGTCCCTCACTCACCGCTTGAGGGTACGGTTCAAGCATGCTCCAACCAATGGCGTTGGCGAAAATAGCAAGGCCGCCAGCGTCAATGGGCAGAGTAATGGTACGGACAATGGATATGCAGAGCATGCTATGAAGCTGAGGGAAGGCCTTCTTGCTCCAACTGGTGAGTGGTGGCCCTGTGCTACTGAAAATTATTTTTCAATACTAACAAGCTGTAGATCGATCTTCCACGCCTGCACTCCCAATCTCGGCCACGCCTTTTGATAACTCTACTGGTGTTTTCCCCTACCCGACCGGATCGTCCTCCATCTTTAGGCCCACCACGCCGGCAACTGCAGGTGTAGATATTCCCACTGTCGCAGACACCTTGTTTGAGCAGAACGAGTGGAATAACCCGGACGATCAGATGTGGTATCTTCCCACGGGCCCGGGACTTTTCCAAACTGGCGACAATGCCAATGTGACCATGACCGACCAAGGTGTGAACATTGGCGGCATGGATCTACTCGATTTCATGACCATGGATGCAGCGCATTTTGATTCTCTAAACACTGGTCAATTCTAGGACGACGAAGAGAGGCAGGAACTTTTGCAAGAGCCGTGATTCCATTCGAATTGTCGGTCAAACAGCACAGTATTTCACGGACGCATATGCTATTTTGCTGTATCTACTCGTTGCCTTGCTAAGCATGTCGATTTGGTTTTTGAGTTTACGTCAAATTGATGCACGATTCAAAAAGATTATACCCTATATGTAGCGAACCAAACGGTATACTAGGTGGACTCCTAGCTGTTAAATTGTAGCCATGATTAATTTTTTAAAAAGTATAAAAAGTTGCAGTCACTTTACAATTTTCAAATATCTGGTCACTAGTCAGTAAGCATGCTATATTGAGTGTTGTATTCAGCGAGGCCAGGTGACATTGAAATCAATACGTGTTCTTGAAGTATGTAATCATTCCAACATATAAATCTTGCCATCGGAAATCATTGATCAATTCTCCGACGTCCAGAACTTCTCGACAAGGTGGTCCGGGAGTGGCTTTCTTCTACCAGTTGAATGGAAAATCTCAAGAGCTGATGGCCCCAAGCTTCTCTCACACACCGCCACACAAGCCCTCTCCGGGGTAGCCTGTACAATTTCCCTAAGCCGAGAGATCAGGCCAACCATTTTCTGTAGGGCCTCCTGATTCCGCGACTGGTTCTCCCAGACCTCAAAGTCTAGACTGATATTGTCAACGCTGACCTCGGTAAAGGTCGCCTTGTCATGACGACCTCGGATGAGATGGGGTGTACGGCCAAACCACATTTGTGGCATCGACTGTCCTGGGGGTTTTGCATTTGCCTTGATCTCGGCCATGTGATTCGGGCTGGTCCCCGGTCCACGGCGGATGACCTGTGTCGAGCCAGTACTCTGACCAGAGGTTCGTTTGTTTTTCAGGCCTACAATTTGGAAATCTCTGACCAGACTGTTGACATCATCATGACCAAAACTGTCAGTTGTGCCTTGGACTTGTGTTTCAGGGTCGACACCCGCCGGCACTACGCATGCATCGACCTCGAAGCGAACGGCACACTTGAGTGCACCAAGGTTATAGTTTAAAACGCAGTGATGACCCATACTGCCTTGCAAATCCGCGTGGGTGGCTGTTACTGCGTGCTCAAACGACCTGCCGTACCCAGAATCTTGAGAGCCATGTATCATCTGTGTAGCGGATTTTGTGCATCTCTCAATGATTAGGGTGCTATCGACAACAAAGAGGTTTAGGCGAAACGAGTCCACGCCTCGCCCTCGACAGAACTCGAGCAATCTCCGAAGACTGTTGCGATTGACAAGGATGTCGATTTTGTTGAACGTGGCATGAGGGTTCATCACCTGGAGAGCATCGAACACGACCTCGAAAGGATATCTGGGCAATCGAGCAGCATTCTGGTCAATGTACTGGATCCCGGAGTCTTTGTCCAGTGTCATCGGCACCGAGACCTCTTTAAACGTGGGCGCACCTCCTGCGAAGGCGTGGAGTCAGAGTATTGGCCACCGAGGTATCGCCAAGTTATCATGGTGGACATACCTGGAACATAGATGGTAGGCCGAGGCCGATCGATCCAGTTGTAGCTGCAGAGAAGCTCGCACCCACCACTGCTTGATACCCGCAGCTCGTCCCCAGAAAGGGCAAGGGAGGTGAAGCTCACGGACAAGATTGAGGCTCCAGTGCCTCGTCGCAACCAATTCCTTTTACCCAGCATTGGTGTTGGCTTCGGAGACTTGTAATTTGGTCAGCGCAGTTGCTTGTCGGCCAACTTTCATCAAGTTTATTTGCTTGCATCATGTTTTACATCACTCACAGGGGCTATTTGAACAGGTACGCTTGCCTGAACCGACTCTTCAGTCCCGGCGACGGCCACTTTGGCCTTGCACATTGAGCCTGGATTCCGTCTCACTCGGTCCCGTCGGTGAGTTTCCAGCGCAACCTCTCTCGCAAACCCCTTACCACAAGAACAGAAGTACGCCATTATTTGCACGGTTCAAGATGGAGGAGAAGGAAAGGAAAATATGCAGGGCATACCTCAAATACGTGTCGATAATGTTGGTCGAGGCAGCGTTGGTGCTTGAATTTACAGCAGATGTTATTGGATGGGTATGCGCCTTGTGTAACTCTACTATCGCACCCCCATGAATGGCTGTACGAATATGCAGGAATTGAAACAACGTTCACCTTATCGCGAGGTTGCCGCCTATACCATGCGCCATAGAGGCTTGGTTATTGATGGCCCCTTAATAGGATCACTTCATAAATGAGCATGGGTCATATAATTCATAGTTGACCGACTACTAGCAGCGACCGGACGGTCTAACTTATAACCGCGCGTTCAAACTGTTTGATATTTTCATATGATCGCTTCTGTTTCTAGCATCATCCAAATTGTGGATTTCGCAGCTTATCAGGGCTTCCCTAGACTTACTTTAGAAACTTGGAAACGTCGATTTGTGCATCTGCACAGTGAACCAAGTACCTCAATGGAAGATATGAGATCATTGCTATGGCTTTGGCGCTTGGCGCTCGTTGCCCGGCGAGAGTGGAATTACCCAGAAGATCTTCACGCAGTGAGCATCAAGTATTGCATGGTTAAGACTTTGCGGAATTTTCTCTGGCTTCCTGCTTTAGCTGGCGTGCTGAGCAGCACTATTTATCGAGACGGTAAGTTGATTACAAACTGCTATGGGTTGTTCTATCACCGGACGACTGTCTTATTATTATTATTTAATCTATATGAGAACACGGCGGAGCAATGGCATGATTCCAGAATCGGAATAACGTCGCTCAATGAAGACGGACCCGAAGCTACATAAGTTTTCCAAACTCCTGCCTTGCTTTTTTCTTTCTTTTTTTCGGAAACGGTAATTTCTTGATAAAAGGTGTACGCATAGTTATAGCACACGCTATGTAAAAACTAATGCCACGGGAGGTGGGAAAGTAGGAACCGAGACTGGTGAAAAAATACCTTACTGGTATGCATGAACTAGTTCCTTGTTCCACTATATTACAACCCTCCTTGCCGGTTCAGTGGATAGAACAAGAATATACGAAACAGATCTAGGTGAACCCATCCAAGCGCGTATGTCTCAATAATATGCAATGTAAAAAATTCACAGAATATTATCATTTTAATCAATAAACGCAACGTCGAGACTGAAAGTAGATTTACTGATCGACAGTGGCCACAGTCCCAGGTTTGGCGTTCCGCGGGCGCTAGTAATGTGCAGTGTACTGTACCTAGTTTCCCGCGGCCTTTCCCGTGGACCCCTAGGATGGCTGCCCAGTTACCGAGAAGCAGCAACGTTTATGATTCGTATAATAAGAGGGGGAGAATGGGAGTGTCTAGGTAGGTGAAAAACAAAAGTATCTATAAAATAGAGTGTCGCATCGGAACTTGATATTTGTCCTCGGCACCTTTGCTACTATTCACAAGCACAGGCGCAATGGCGAAACTTCAGGAACAAGAGTTCTGGGCGGACGCGGATAAGCATCTCATGTCTACTGGAGTGCCCTATTCGCCATCCATCATCACTAAAGCTATTGGATGTCGGCTGTACGATCAAAATGACCGCGAGATTCTCGACTTTACCTCTGGCCAAATGAGCTCGCTCCTCGGCCATTCACACCCTGAAATCGTTCAAGTTGTGCAAAAGAATGTGGCCGAGCTTGATCATCTGCTCAGCAACATGATTACCCAGCCAGTCGTGAGTCTTGCGAAGCGGTTGGCACGGTTCCTACCTGCCCCGCTAGAGAAGTCGTTCTTTTTGAACACTGGCTCAGAGACGACAGAGGCTGCTCTGAAAATGGCCAAAGTCTTTACGGGCAAATTCGAAATCATTGCCTTTTCTGCCAGCTATCACGGCCTCACTCAAGGCTCTGGATCGGCCACCTACTCGGCAGGCCGCAAGAACGGCGGACCGCCTACTCCAGGCATGCTTGCCTTCCCGGCACCTTATGCATACCGATCGCCCTTTCGAAAGTCCGACGGCTCTTATGACTGGGAGACGGAGCTCGAGTTTGGCTGGTCCATGATTGATCGCCAAAGCGTTGGCTCCTTGGCCGCCTTCATCATGGAACCCATCCTATCCACCGGCGGCATCCTCGTCCCACCCAAGGGCTACCTGAAGCGCATGTACGACGAGTGCAAGAAACGAGACATGCTCGTCATCATGGACGAGGCGCAGACGGGCGTCGGCCGCACTGGCAAGATGTTTGCCTTTGAGGACGACGACATTGTCCCCGACATTCTGTGCCTGTCCAAGACCCTCGGCTGCGGTCTCCCGCTGGGCTCCGTCAGCACCACGGCCGAGATTGCGCGCGGGCTGGCGCAGTCCAAGTTCCTCTGGCTCACCACACACCTCAACGACCCCTTGACCGCGGCCGTCGGCGACAAGGTGCTCGAGATTGTCGAGCGCGACAATATTGCCCAGCGCGCCGCCGAGCGGGGCGAGCAGCTGCATCGGGGCTTGCTAAGGCTGCAGGAAAAGTACTGGTGCATTGGCGACGTTCGTGGACGTGGCCTCTTTCAAGCCATTGAGATTATTTCGGATGCCGAGACAAGAGCACCCGGGCCCGACCTTGGCCAGCTGGTCTCTGACAAGGCTCTTGCTCTGGGTATCTCGTGCAACGTTGTCAATCTCCCTGGCATGGGCGGTGTCTTTCGACTTGCGCCTCCCGTCACGGTCACGGAGGAGGAGATTGAAGAGGGCTTGAAGATCTTGGACAGGGCTTTCGACGAAATTCTAGCTACCCGGGGCGGGGTCGTGCCATGAATTATTGCATGATTAGAAGAAAACAAAAATAAATAAAAGCAAATTTCTGGCGCGTTCTCATCACAATCATAATTTTATTTGTACAAGAGTCCCCACCTTCTTCTTATGACGAGGTATAACAATAATTCAGGATTGTCCGCGTTGAAAAACATTGAAATAATGAACTATCAAGTCTCAATGGTTCATTCGCGGACGATCGTTTGACGGAATATATGCTTGTAGGATCAATGCGAGATCAAGATTGAAAGCCAACTACAATTGCGGAGACGCCAAACAAATTGTGCGATTTGCCGAGCTCTTTAGTCCGAAGCAGCGACTATATATGTATGGATCACCAGTATGGTGGCGTCAGTATAGGCAGGATGACTGGGGTTACCCCTGGCAGTTTCCACCAATCGTGCAATCAATGGCGCGGCTATGATCCATGATATAGAAATAATTGTTGCATATCTCCAATATTTTGATTCTCGGATACCTTCCATATGTCTTGTCGGCGCAAAGGATCTCATTTCAAAATGACCTTGATTTTCCGGGCGAATGGATGATATGACAGAGGTGGTAGGAGCGTCATAGTTGATATATATACGGCCTGCTACAACTCTTCTTTCAGTGGGAGACCAAGTTTGTTCTGCATGGATTACTCTCAATAGTAACGAGCTAATTACGCAGAATCCAGAGATACAAACGCAATGTTGGGTATTTATCTTGCATCTTTGCTGCTGAGTGCAATTTCCAGCACCCAGGCCCGACCGTCTGCCAGCTCCCTTAGACGATCCTGGTCCGGATACGGTAACCTAGAGAAGTTTGTTGTCTTGTAAGTCAATTTGCGTCATAATATATTTAAATGCTGACACTGATTGTAGTGGTGACTCTTACTCCCGAATTGGCTTTTCAGCATCCGGCACGCAACCATCTGCCTCGAACCCCTTTGGCAATGCGGGTACCACGAGCGCAGATGGATACAACTGGGTTAAATATCTCACGCTGAACCACAATGAGAGCGCATTCCTGACATATGACTATGCATTGAGTGGCGCGACCGTTAATGTCTCCATTGTCGAGGGCTCAGTTGGCAGAGACGTTGTCGGGGAGGTGCAAAATACGTTTCTGGCCTCGTATGCAGACAACAGCAGCTTTGCCGGGGATAATGTGCTCTATGGAACCTGGATCGGGATCAACGACGTCAAGGGCTCTTATCTGGGCGACGACTATGAGGGCGCCGATTTCACCATCTACACGGAAATCATTGACTCTCTCGCCTCTCAGGTGGATGCGCTGTACGATAATGGCGCTCGCAACTTTCTCTTCTTGACTGTCCCTCCGCTTGAAAAGGCTCCCTACACTACGACATCCTCGGCAAATGCGACACGATATCCCTTGATGGAGGCTGCGGTGGACGACTACAATGGCAAATTGTTAAAACTAGCCAAGTCTGTCGGCCACGACTATGTTGGGACGAATGTGTTTTACATGGACGCCCACGCCCTCTTCAACGACGTCATTGCCGACCCTACCCAGTTTGAGGAGACAGCTAGCTACAAGGATGTGACTAGTTATTGTGATGCATACTCGTCGTAAGTGTGAAAACAACAAGAAATCGTCACTCGCAGGCGCGGTGCGAGATGAAGATGACTCAAGTTCAATGATACCCACAGTGCTGACATGATTTATTTCTTCTCGATTAGCTTGACCGATGATTCGGATGCCGACTCGGACGAATGTGATTACGCCGTCTATGAGTACCTCTGGCTGAACAACCTGCATCCGACGTATCCAATTCACAACCTCTTGGCCAAGGAAATCGCCGCTCTGCTGGCCGCCGGACCTACATTTTGGTAAAGGACGGAGCGAGCTTGCTCTAGCTAGGGATTTTTATTTAGTGTGTTGTCGGGAAAACCATCTGGTATATCTCTGGGTTGGCTTTACACCCGTAAATCATTCAGTATCAATGGACAAGTTGTAAACAATTATTATCTGGCTATTGAACTGCACGCCAAGTAAATGCCTAGAGTGAAATACAAATCATGATGCACAGAAGCTGTCAACAATGGAGCCACTAGCTATCTGTGCCCACGTGTCATTGGCCGCAAACTCTACCATGCTGTCGATGCTCGAGTTGTATTTCGGCCAGGTAGTGCCGTGTCCATCAGTAGGATCTTGTTCGGGGGTTGAAGCAAAAGACAGCCACAAATCTGTGAAAAGAATCGTAAATGAGGGGTCGGGGTAATTTGGATAAAAGCAGGACCACTAACCTTGCATTCCGTAGCTGGTTTCCCATTCGAACTCGGTCGAGTTGCCTCTATACAAGTTATGGGTTCCAAACAGCAGAGGCAGCTCAGCTAGATATCAAATCAGTAAGACGGAAATACCAAACAAACAGGCCAAGTGTGTATGTAATCTTACCACTGTGCGTAGCACCAATCCACGGCAGTGGAGAGATGTTGGAAAAGTTGCCCGTGTAGTAGTAACGGTAAGTACTGTAACCAAACTTCTCTCGGGACCTTGACAGTATTAGCATGTACGTATATGATAGTGGTAACTTTCAAGACTTACTTGATCTCCGCGCTCACTGGGCACACAATGGCTGACAATCCAATGTTGAACTGGGTCTCAGACTCGCCGCTAGCGTTAAAGGTACCAAATCCCGCTCCTTCGTTGGCATTGTTGCCCATGATCCAGGGCTGCAATAAATTTGGTTAGCCCATGACTTCTTCCTCGTGTGTTTGTGTATGGAAACCTACAGCCTTGGTGACTAGACCATTTGCCAGGCGATCAGTCGTGTTGGAGAACACGGTCACATTGTCTGCGACAGGGGAGAAGGAAATGGTGCTTGTGTGGTTAGAGTATACTGTCTCGAGCGTCTGAGCATCAACCTTTTGCATACAATCAAGCTCCTCGCTGGCGTCAAGGTCGCCACAGCCTACGAGTCCAGCCAGAGTGCTGAAGCTGCTAAAGTTGCCATATGTTTTGCTCAGAATCGAAGGTGCCCCAGAATCCGAAATGAGACCCTTGACAATAAGATCCTCAGGGTACGAATAGCCATAGTAGCCGACGGACGCGGAACCCGCCGACTGGCCCCAGAGCACCATTTGTTCGGGGTTGCCTCCAAAGGCGGCGACATTGTCGCGCGCCCACTCGACCACGAGTCTCTGGTCGAGGAGGCCGACATTCTGGTGCGCACCCTCGGCGCCGGGGAAGCCAAAGAGATTGAGTCGGTAGCCCATTGTGATGACAATGTGACCCTGGGTGCGCTCGATCCATTGGTCTGGGATCTTGTACAACGAGTTGGAGCCTCCGGTCGTAAATCCACCTCCCGGAATGTAGATGAACACGGGCAATTTGGCGTCTACAGGGTGGAGCGGAGCGTAGACATTAAGGTACAAGCAATCCTCGGACTGGCCACCATTGATGAGGAATTGCTGGATATAGGTCGAGTACACTGTCGGCGCCGTGCTGATCTGCTGCATACAGGCGGGAGCGTAGGCTGTGGCATTGATGGAGCCGGCGTAGGTCTTGGGCTGCGGCGGTTGGAAGCGGAGCGTCTCCAGTGGCGGCTCCCCATACGGGACGCCCAAGAACTGGCGAACATTGGGAGTTGTGGAGTTGATGAAGCCTGACAGCTGTCCGCTGGTCGTATTGACCTTTAAAGTATCAACATGGTGGCACGGTGAAGCCTGGACAGATGTGGTCAAAAGGCCCAACGAGAGGGACAAGACGCTCCCAATTCCTTGCATCATGTTTAAAGCACCCATTGCAGGTAGTATACTAATTAAAAGGCAAAGGGCGGAGAGCTAGCTTGGCAGAGGGCCGGCCCATTTCTTGGATTTGGCGCACTTCAACATCTTTATGTCAACAGAAGTCCAGCGGGCACGTATTGTTTGGGTCATCCATCATTCCTCGGCGCAGTGACAGTCAGGATGAATATTTATCAAGAAAGTGATGATATTGCGGAGAACCTGGTCGAATTTTGCAGGCGCTAAGGCGAGAAGAGCGTTCAAGTTTGGGGTATCTGGGGAACATTTGGTCGATCCGTGGGGTTCATGGTCGTAATCTTGGTCAAGTTAAATTAGTGCAGGGGTTGATGTCGTGAATGCGGAGAAAGTTAAAAATCCGGGGGAACTAGATGGGATGAATCTTGACCCGGAACGCAACTGTGTGATTTCGGCTCGCAAGACCGGCCAATTGTTGACGGGAGGATCCCAAGCTTTGCTCTATATCTTTGCTCTATACCCGCTGTTTATGTTTGGTTCGCATGGTGCATTGTTTGCCCGCTGCTACCGAGGTATGGAGAGTCGCCGGCGGAGAAGCCAATCCAAACCGAGAGTCTAAACCAATTCGGTCTCATTAATTCAGTCGAGCTTATAAAGCATTAGGAGGGTAACCACCGGCGAGTGCCCGGTATAATATATTTTTCCTTGCTACATTCATCACGATTATACTAATCAGTGGGTCGTGATATATCATGAGTTGGGAGCGAGGTATGGTGTGAAGCTATACTACTCATGAAGCTATCCCCTGCCACGAGGATTAGGGGAGGGAAAGCAAAAAAGAAGAGGCTCAAAGAATTGACTGCTTGAACAGAAAGCAAAAAGAGAAAGCGCATTGATCACTATACAGACACGAAGAATCCAACCACGGCCTTGACGTTTCAAGATGAGAGCATCATATGTTGGTCACTACACCATGTCAGACCTTTCCGGTGCCATTGCTTGCAAAGACGGCCCTTATCATAGTGGATGCGCATCTAGAATTTGTTCGAATCTGGCCTCAGCCTTACTCTTGTCAAACATCTCGACCCTTGTTACTGTTCAGTAGGCACTGAAACGGTCATGTTCCAATACCAACTCCCTGGTTTCGGCCGAAAGTTCTCTTGGGAACTGACGAGAAAAGCGCCACTTCAGAAGCGAACATGATTCTATCAAGGCCTGGATTGATTTGACAGATAACATGAGTCGCGAATCATGTTTGGACTCATAATGTCGTAGTTCAATTGTGCAAAGCACATGTTACTGGAAGTTTACAATGAAAGCCAACGAGGCTCGCAGCTCAACTAGTTTATTCAAGTTTGATACCTTTGGACTCTTAGCCATGGAATTTTGTAGTCTCGACTTTTCTGCACACAGTGATCATACGAGGTTGTCCGCTTACGTTGAAAAGCAACTTGCCTCAATGGAGGCTCCAAAATGCCACGTGCCGAAATAAGACATTCCGGACGGTGGCGTATTCGTCCAAACGCACAAGAGACATTGAGGCGCTCCCAAGTCGGGAAATCAACAGGAATCAGTAATATAGACTATTCAAAAGAGTAATCAAGCTTCAATGATCATTTACGCTAAGTCCGAGCAGGACATCAACCTGAGCCCGTCAGTCACTGGTCCTGCGCGAGGCAATTGACACATGAGACATGAGGGGGAACTGACAGCAGCTGGATCCCGACACTAGGGACCTGACATTATGTTAGTGTGACAGTATACGAGTCTTGTTTTTATGCGAGTCTAGTAGTGAACACATCGACGATTGTTCTTGCGGTCTCGAGCCGCACCTACGGCTTGCTATTTTCCCCCCACAAAGCCGGGCTAATCTAACGCCAGAGAGCTCCAGATCGACGCCGTGGATAGTAATTCTGAGACAGAAATGTTAGTGTTGCTGTCAACTATTCTCGAGCTAATGGACCATGATGTTGTAAAGTTCCATGTAGAGGAATAGATTGTCTAGGTAATTAACCTTTTCCCCATATCAAGCGCGCATTATTGGCAGCCAGTAAGCACTCCCTATACTATTTACTATACTTGCAAACCAGCATACTAACGGATGAATACACCCTCATGTGCGAAGCTCGATGTCGGGACTGGAGACGTGAACAGGGCAAACCGAGAGTGTCTAGTCTCCCAGGTCTCGTCTATATAAACATCCCAGATTTCCACATCATATCGGTCGAAAAGAGTATCAGTAGCCAGAATCATCACATCACACTTGAAGCCTTCACACTCATCAAAGAATTCTGGTCCAAGAAGCTTTTCTCCGAAATTTCCCAACTTTTAACAAAATGAAGTTCTCCCTCGTCGTTCTCGCCGCCGCTGCCGCCACTGGCACCGCAGCATCGCCTCTGACCGTCAGCGGAAGCACCTCGCTCCTCGGTCAGCTCGCCCAGCTGACGTCGCTCCCGACATGCGCCGTTGCCTGCATCAATGCCTCGGCGCAAAAGGCCGGCACGGGCTCGCTGTCGCTTCTTCAGCTCAGCAGTCTGTGCAAGAATGTCACGGGCGTCCTGAATGGTGCGACTGTCTGTTTGCAGACGTGCAAGCTCCCTGTTGGTGAGTCTATTCCTTCCTTGGATTTCTTTTGGATATCTTGCGGTCTAGTCGGGAAAATTGACTGACTTGTTATACAAAAAGCCCAATTGACACAGGTCACTACTACGCTCAAGACCGTCTGCGCTACTGTGAAGCTGTAGATCACGAGTCGTCAAAGGGAACACTCGTCTTCTGATGAGATGATCGGAAAATACTGATCAGGAGAGTTTGAATGTCTACACTCGTTCCTCTGTATATAGTATCGCGTGCAGCCGGCTTATCTCCGGGAGCCCCGGGCACTTTCATTGACACTATTGGAGTTGCTGCAGTACGCTATAGCACACCCCCATATCTGACAATTTGTATATATTTTTCCGTGGCGGGTGTGCCCTGAATTTTATTCTCAACCATATATGACACGGCTATACATATTTCAGTGGTGAAATCACATCGTATTTTGTCGTAAAACAAGCAGAAGCAGCTGTCGGGTTGACCTGACCATGGGTCCGAGACTGCGTGTCAAGGACTGAGGAGGGGTCTGCAGCTCGGGCAAAGGGAATGTTGCGTTTACCGACCTGGCTGCAATTTGTTTCCGGGACAGCGCTGAGACCGTACACCGATAAAAGCCCGATTTCGGTCAACTCTCGGGTGGAAAAACGTGCCTTGACTACCTGGTGCTTGGTATTCTGCATTTTGTACCGAATTATGAGTCTGCCGCTTAGAGAATCCAAAGGTACAGAAGTGACGCGTTGGAGTTGAATCGTGGCTCCCGAAGTTCACACCGACACCCGTCGAATTTCCAGCCTACGGAGATGCGTGCCATCTAACATTCGTTCGGCCCAGATAAACCCCTGCCCCGTTCCCTTGACCTGGATTATTTTACTTGAATGATGATTTGCTGCACGTGGGGACCCTGACTATAGTCTCGACAGGCATCATCCGACCTACTCGGCCGGTTCGGTCGGATAGCACCCCAAAGAACCAGCATTAGTCGATAGCGGCTGTCGATCGCCCCGCCTAATGCCTATGGTGCTGCTGTGTAAGGTTTGTACTAAACACTCCGGGGCTGGGAAAAAAGAGGATGGTAGGCCAATCCGAATCCCTTTGGTCCCTGGTATCCATTCCTTGTAGATGCAAGGGGATCTCTTCCCGGCACGCCATGAACTGCCGCGAACGACTCGAAAGCAAACTGACGAGTTATGCCTGGCTCTGCTTGTGTGGGTAATTGGATAGTCCAATGTCACAAGACTTGACACGGAACCGGTCTGTTGATGGACCTCTACCGCGGCAATAGCTGACCCGCGGGGTGATCGTCCGGGCTACATGTTCCAAAAGCACGGCATTGAGTGAGAGTCCATATCATCGGTCTAGTTCTATAAGAGCTTGATGAATTTTTGTTTGAATGCCTAGCCGTAGCTCCTCTCCATCACAACTTGGAGCCCCGAGTCTCATTCATACCGGAAGCTCCAAAATTTATCAAGTAGTGGCCAAGGACTTTTACCATGGAGATCGCTGCTGTCTACGAGGGTCTAGCGACCAAATGGCTTGCTGCCTATGATCTGGCAGGCTCAGGCTCACCATGCCGTATCGAAGGAGAACTGGCCGACCTTGTCGTACTTGGAGAGATTCCGCCGGAGATTAATGGCACCTTTTATCGCGTAATGTGCGACCCGTTTGTTCCCCCGGACCCTAATAATGTTCCCATTGATGGCGACGGAAATGTGTCGGCCTTTCGCATCCACAATGGACGTGTTGACATGCGACTCAAGTACATTGAGACTGAGCGGTATAAACTTGAACGACGCGCCAACAAGGCCCTCTTCGGCTTGTATCGCAACCCTTTCACACACCACCCGTGCGTGAGAGCCGCTGTCGACTCGACTGCAAATACAAATCTGGTGTACTGGGCCAATCGCCTGCTCGCCTTAAAGGAAGTCGGTTTACCATACGAGATCGATCCGGACACGCTGGAGACGCTATCTTACGATCCCTTCGGGGATCAGATCAAGGCCAAGACCTTTACGGCGCACCCAAAGGTTGATCCCTTTTCCGATGAGCTCGTCGTCTTTGGCTATGAGGCCAAAGGTCTGGCGACAAAAGATATTGTCATCTACGCTCTCGACAAGGACGGGAAGAAGCACGACGAGCAGTGGATACAGTCGCCGTGGTGTGCGTTCATCCACGACTGTGTCATCACCCCCAATTGGCTAGTCCTCGTGCTGTGGCCATTCGAGGCCAATATGGCGCGCCTAAAGGCTGGAAAGCAACATTGGGCCTGGGACTACAAACTGCCAGCCACATTTATTGTGGTCCCCAGGCGCAAGAGCACGCCGCTGCCTTCCGGCTGGAAACAGGGAGAATCAAGGGTATACTCGTGGAAGAACTGCATGCCGATCCATACGGCCGGTGCCTGGGAAGGCGAGGACGGCAAAGTCTATCTAGAGTCTTCGCGCGTGCACGACAATGCCTTTCCCTTCTTCCCTCCAGACGATGGACGGATGCCCGCACCAGACGCCAAGGCCGACTTCGTACGCTGGGAGCTTGACCTGAACCAGCCGACAGGCAGCACAGTTCCGGACCCGACCGTTATTCTAGATGTCCCCTCCGAGTTCCCGCGAATAGATGAGCGTTTCATGACTGGCAAGTACAGATACCTCTTCCTCAATGTCTTTATGCCCGAGACCTCGGACGGCAAAAAGAACATCTTTCACGGCCTAAATGGACTCGCTATGCACGACCACGAGACGAACAAGACTCGGTACTACTACGCAGGCGACGACTCGCTCGTCCAGGAGCCGATCTTCATCCCGCGCGGCCCTAATGCTCCAGAGGGCGACGGCTGGGTCATGGCCATGGTGGAACGACGTGCTGCGAACAGGAATGATCTGGTGCTTTTGGACACGAAAGAGTTTGAGAAGCCCGTGGCATTTGCGCAGCTGCCTATGCATGTCAAGGCGCAGATCCATGGAAACTGGGTCGAGGGAAACCAGATGACTTCGGGCAGGAGTCTGGTGAGGGAGATTCCAGAGTTCAGCATCAGCGGCAAGGGGGCGTTGGAGCCTTTGGACTAGGAATGTTTTGATTAGTGATGCTTCTTTGTTACGGCATGGGGGGAAATTGTTCCCGATCCCACCAAGCTGACAGTTGCCCAAGACAAAGACAGCTTTGCTAACAATGACGAGACGGCAATTATTACGTCAAATTACCATGTCAAATTGAATGATCACATCTGAACATCCTTCTGACCCCCCTCATGCCCTGCCATGACAGCATCCGCTAGGATGGACATGATATTTCATCAATCAATCACAACGCCGTTGTTTTCAGCGGCGTGGACACCAGCTGGTCAGGCATCATACGCTGGGACATGTGTATTTCTCATTTTTCTTGCACTTGTCCATAGAATGCTTCAGGCGGCTAAGCATGCTGTTTTCCGATCGACAAGAGCTAGCGACAACACCGGCTCGGTCGCTATGGCTGCTGATATCGAAGGCAAGAAAACACCACTCTCACGGCAATTGGATGCAGAACAACACAAGCGCCCTTTTGCATTGGGCACCGAGATAGCTCGAGGACTGATGGATGTGTTTCTAGCTGGGATCGGATATCTGCTGTAGGTTGTTATTCCCGTTTGTCCTGGCTTTTGTACGTTATATGGATACATAGAATGTGGCTGAATAGATGTGCTGACAATCAATAGTATGCTCGCCGTCATGACTATGAACGTCGGATACTTTTTATCGGTGCTTGGTGGCATATTCTTGGGAGCAGTACTATTCGGTCGATTCGGATCTCATGACAGTCATCACTAGATTAAATGAAGAGAAATAAATTTATCTCATGTCCGGATCCTTGAAATGACCAGAGCAGCCAGCACATAACATGCTGAGCTTGTGAAATAGGGAACGCCCAATGCGGCACCTCCGAGCGAGATGCCTCTGACCCAAAGGATTGCCATTAGTGGAGCCCCTACAAGCGACCCCAAAGTCTTGACCATCATGACGAGAGCAAACATGTGAGTTTCAGTGTCTTTATCCTGTAGTTGAATGCCGCGTTCCGGTTGTATGGCTGGCGATTTCAGCAGCGACAATGTAAACACCGGCAGCGCAGAACCCAGAGCATAGACGAGCAATGCCGGGACTAGAATCCAGATCTCGGCTGCGAGGCCTATTGAAAATGCACCTATGATGGAGACAGCAAGACAAATCAGAGCGTATCGAATATTGGCTCGATCGGTTCGTCCCGAAGATGATTGCCCAGTGCTCAATGAATGTCTATTTCGCAGAAGTGACGGAACAACGATAGTCAGAAGGACAAAGTTCATGACGGCCTTCCCCGACAGGAGATAGCCCGCTGAGGCAAATGTCCAATGGTAGCGCTTCGAGATGTATTGGGGTAAAAGCTTGGTATCAGAGCTTGCCAATGAGGTAAGGAAGAATGAGATGAACAATAATAGTAAGTTCCTGGTATGACTGGCCAGCATGGCTCTGAGTGTTTCGCAACGTTTGCTAATGGCAGTGAATGCTGAAGTATCTGCATCCTGAGCTTTCAGCAGTGGGGAAGAGATCAGTGGTCTAGATTGCTCATCTTGAGCCTGATGGGAAAGGCCAGTGAATTCTCCTTCGGGATGATCTGGAAGCAGTGATATGGTGGGTACAGCCAGTAACAGTAATGTGATGCCCACGAAGAAAGGCAACCAAAGCAGAATCGACATTGAAGCCGATGCCAGAGCTGGGCCCAACAGAGCGACGACATACGATATGGAGCTCATCCAGCCAAAATAGGTGGCACTGACAGATAATTGTTTAGCTCACGAGTCAAAAGTTTGTTTGCAAATTGGAGCGCGTACCGAAGAACATAATCGTCTGTGATGCTGGCAGCTAGGGCATATGTCATTGAATTAAAGACACAATCACCGCCCAGAGCCGACAGGAAGGGACCGGCAATGATGGCACGTGGCGGCAGAGCGTGCTCAAAATGTCCCACAATCACCGCCCAGCCCAGCATGAAGACGCGAGGAATCAAATTCATCCATAACACGGTCCGTTGGCCATATTTCTCGGCGACGAAGCCCAATGGGATGGTCATGACAAAGTCTGCGGGTGCGGGTCAGTAAAGAGGGTGCTGCTGGCAGTGAAGTAATGGTACGCAGGACAGGCAGGACGGGACGCACCACCAACAATCCAGGCAGTATCCATGGCGCCCTGTATCCACGCAAGTCCCTGTTGCACCTGATTGATCTTGCAGAGGTCCTCGGGGATCTCGCCCCCAGGCAAAATACCGGACGGCTCGTTCTCATTGTAGTATTCGCGACATAGGCGTCGCTCAATGACGCGATTCAACGGCAACTGATAGAGACTGGTCGAGAGATTGACGAGCAACAATAACGCGAGGAGGGCGCCGATCGTCGCACGCTTGGGCCTTGAACGCGGCATCTCGTCGATTTCGTCCTCTTCAACACCGTTCCGCCCTTCTATATCCATATTGTTTGACAAAGGATGGCGAGCATGGACAGTTGATGGTGAGGAACATGCGTTAGAAGGACAAGAGAGATACGACGTTATCAGCTGGCTTTGATGCACGCCAGTGGGCCAATCAACTGTGGGACTGGCGGATGGCCCCGTGACATTTCGATATTAGGGCGTGTTCAGGCGCTGTCGCAGAGAAACCCGCCTAACAAGCTTGCCTGCGGGACTCGTTCTAGCATTTGAAATCCCTCTGAAGTGTCGAAAGTTGGACATGTTTGCTTTTGTCTGCGAATAATCACAAAAACTGCATATTGTATGAAGAGAGTTCCAATTTTCTATGAATTCACGAATTTTGAATGAAACACTTCTAGTTGGACTACTGCAGTCGGTGCTACCTGAGCAAACACTGTAGAAGTGCTCGAGCTGCAGTAGGTTAGTACCTTTGGTGCGCACCTAGCTAGCTAAAGGATACACCCTTCACTGACAATTACATCCATTTGAATTCCTTCGTAAGTAATTTGATATTACTATCATATTCCAGCATAAATTTCAGCTTGCAATTCAACTTAATACGGCCGCCTTTATGGCAAACATACCTGGTGGCAATGAAGGCTCAGGGGCGCTCAAGTCAATCCGCTAGCTAGATACAAGCCTGAGATTTTCGTATTCATACGCCAAATTCACGAGTGAGCTGATTTGAATGGATATTGAGGACATTATTGGGACGTGATCGATCTCGACCCAGGTTCTTCGACTGCTTAAAACATCTTTTCCGGTGCATCTTTAATTCTAGAGAAATAGCAAGGAGAAACAAAAGAACGAAGTGGTCAAATCATCTTGGTATCGGCCGATACGAATAGTACAAGCGATCGAAGTTCGACATTCACTCGCATGACGATGGCTTCCCCTTCCGCGGGGCGTCAAGGAGGGATGCGAAATGACCAGGAAAGAGGCCCTACAAGAGCTCAAGATAATCAGAAAAATAGATCGACTTCCTCTTGAGTATGGATTCACTCTTGACGTCTTATGTGTCGCGGGAAGATGTGAGTTGATCAGACTAGGTGGTTTCGGTGCCCAGAGTGCTTGCAGTTCTTGTTTGTGGCGCTGGGTTAGAAATCGAGAGATACATTACAGCACGACGCGCGGTAAAGCACAAATTCAAACAGCTTGTGATCTAGGGATACGGTGCAAGTGATAGGGAAAAGAGCAAAGCCTCGTGTAAATCGTATCCGACACGTCGAATTGATGTCGTACACTGCTTTGGAAGGGCTGGACCGCAAAGACAACTTACTCCCAATCGATGAGGCTATGAATAGGCCATATCCGGCATTGAAAGTCGGCACTGGTATATTAATGAGGACGGGTTGCATTTAGTGGTGGTCTTGGCTGATTGGGCGACGTCAATTGGCTTTTTACCGGGAGCGGTTGCGTTGACTTAGTAGCATTTCGTTGGAGAATGCGGAGGACTGCTACCCTCCGAATTATTTTTTCTTGGCTTTTGTAATTTCCTTCATCATCGTACCTGGTGGGATTAATTGATGCGAGGATTTCTTTTCTCAGCTGAAGTTGACAACCTCGGTTAAACCCTTTGTCTTCTTTCGTGACAAGGCGTTGTCGTGACTTTTTGCCTGCCGTGTTATGTTGCCGAGTACTTGGACCTGTGCTAAACTCCGGCGGCTTAGAGCTCCGTTGCCTAAGTTGGACACTCAGCATCCGGAACTGACATGTATGGTTTGCGATTCTTGTATATTGGAGAAGAAGAGACGAGTGAACATCGATTAGACGAGGGATCGATATCTGGAAAGCACATCGTCAACCGCTGAAGTAGTCAGTCTTCAGATATATAAAGAGGCTTCAGAGATCGCCATCATCTTTTATTTCTCACAGTATCAAAAGCCCATACATCACAATGAAGATTCCCAGCCTAGGTCTCGGTCTCCTTGCAGCTGCTACTTTGACATCAGCTGCTTCTCTGCAGCAGGTGACGAGTTTTGGCAGCAACCCTACTAGTATCAACTTTTACATCTATGTCCCTGATAAAGTTGCTACCAATCCGGCTATCATTGTAGCTGTATGTTCTGCATTCACAAAAGACATTAGTGATGAAGAGATATGCTAACATTACATCATCCAATTTAGCTGCATCCCTGTGGAGGATCAGCGCCAACATGGTACTCTGGCACCAAGCTCCCATCATACGCTGACTCTGGAGGCTTCATCCTGATCTACCCGGGCACACCGCACAACTCCAACTGTTGGGACGTGAACAATGCGGCCTCACTTACTCACAATGGCGGCGGTGACGCCGCCGGCATCATCAGCATGGTCAACTACACGCTGGACAAGTACTCGGGGGACAAGAGCCGGGTCTTTGTCATGGGCTCGTCCTCGGGCGCCATGATGACCAATGTCATGGCGGGATCGTATCCAGACGTGTTTGCCGCGGGCTCGGCCTATAGTGGCGTCGCTCACGCGTGCTTCTTTGGCAGCGCCACGAGTACCCCTTTTGGCTCGAACCAGACGTGTGCTCGTGGCCTCACGCACACGGCGGCCGACTGGGCCGCTTTTGTGCACAATTCGTACCCGGGCTACACTGGAAAGTACCCGCGCATGCAAATCTGGCACGGCTTGGCCGACAATCTGGTGTACCCACAGGCCGGCTACGAGGCTCTCAAGCAGTGGGGTGCCGTCTGGGGGCTGCAGAATGCAAAGAACAATAGTGGTGTGCCAAGCTCGGCGTATACCCAAATCCTGTACGGGGACGGAAGTCAGGTGGTTGGCTACTTTGGTCAAGGCGTGGGACACACGGCTCCGGTTAATGAGCAAAATATGTTGCAGTTCTTTGGATTGTTGACCTGAAATACTCAAGTCTTCAGAGAGGAGACGTAACAAAGTCATTGACAACCCAACATATCAGAGCGCAGTCTTTCATTGGAATTCAAAAGTTAGGGAGTCATCTGATTCTATTATTGGTGCTAAAGTCTGAGTCTCAAGCTACAGAGCTGTTGAAAAGCTCTTCCAAAAATGATCCAAAAATCGCTTCAGCTCTTGTCTTTTGGATTTTCCCAGATCGCAACCTGGCCGTGAACATGTGCTCCTACCTTTCTGGTGCGTCGAGACGGTGTGGTGGTGCTTTTTGGATGCAACCACATCGATAAAGCGCCATTTGAGGTTCTTGTCAACGTGGTCCCACTCATGGTCTTCACTCATCGAGGTAAAAGCATGATGGAGAGCCTCATCCATCACATTGCTGTCGTCACTATACTCACCTTGCTCAAAGGCAACCTCGATGGAAAACTCACAGAGCGGTGGGTCTTCTTCATAGTAGCCAGGACACAGGAAAAAGGGCACGGGGGCATAGATGACCTCACCCGTCACAGGATTCGCCACAGGCTTGAGGGAAAGAGGCCAGCCCTCCTGCTCGCGCCGTCGCTGGTCACTCACCTCGACGCAAGTGGCATTGGACGCCCAGCTCCACGACCTCTGCCGGCCCTTCCAGAACTGTGCGCTCACATTTGCAAAGATGTCTTCAACATGGGCTTCCGGGTCGATGCTAGAGTCAAAGTCCGGGAACAGCTCAGTGTTAATCGATGCGGCATCATCGACAACCAATTGTTTCACTTCTCCCTTCTCCTCCCCTTCCACCAAGGACAAATCCGCTCCCAACTGCTTCTCCCGGAGCAAAATCTCGGCAGCAATCTCAGACCGCGTTTGTGCACGGGGATCCTGAGATTCTGGGAGAGTTGGACAATACACTTTCCGCCTGCGGTCTTGCAGACTTCTGACCTTGCTCTTGAGACGGTGCAAGAATGAAGGGGACATTCGAAGACTGCGGTTGAACAAAGTGTATTGAGCGGTGTGAGTGGAAGAGAACGTATTCTTTGGTTGTTGATTCTCCCTGCATCAAGTGACACGTGTTCAGCTTATATACCTCTGCCGTGAATGTCATTGTATGCGGCCTGAGGCATTGTAGCCATCGAGTTTCATGACATGTAGTCACAATGACTTCTTTGTTAGTCGATTAATGCCCATTGTTAGAACAAAAGAACGGGAGGTCAGGGACTACTCTTGATGCCTTTTATTCTTCTTGAGATCTAGATCGTCATGATCGCACTGTTTCATGCAGTTTTCGATAGACTGCATTGGCTACGATGACTCTAATTGAGCACGAATTGGTAGATCGAAGGCACCAATTTCCACATTTCTGTACTGGAATATACTTGCACTTGTAAGCGGCCGCATTTGACTCCTACTGCTAAATTCGTATACCTTTGAGGCACAGCACGAAAAGAAAAAAAAAAAAAAAAGAGGGGCCGAGACCGAGAAGTTTGCTACGCGACCAACACAACATAAGCACAAGTTGGATCTAGAGTTACCAGACATCTACGCTTTCATCTTTGCGGGATTGAGAAGATCTTCCCCAAATATTCCTACATAATAGATTATCTGAACTGCTTGCAAGCTTTGTTCGTCCCAGAATATTATCTGAACACCATATATACCAGGCGCAGCCCCCTACAAGTGCCCCAAGATGCCCAAACCCAGCATTCCCAAGCCAAGCCCCGCGCCGTCAGCATACCCGGGCGGCAGACGGCCTCTCACGTGGCTGACCGTGGTTTGTTTCGCCCTCTTCTCCATCGCAGGGTTCTACTTTATGCGCATCGAGAACAGCATCAACGGGGTACCAGTCGACTTTGAAAAGGTTGTCACCAGTGGCCAGTGGGCCGACGGCACACCCATCAAGCAGACGTACACGGGCGTCGAGGCCATCGACTTTGTGTTCCGCTGGCTTGTCCCGGCTTTTATTGCCGGCCCGGCCGGATATGATCAAGGCGTCCGGCTCCAGCAGATCCACTTTCTCGTCAACTTCTTTGCCGTCGTCGCGATTTGGAATGTCGAGGCGTCCCGGCAGCGGAACCGGGGCAGCGCATTAAGCTAGTAAGTCTTGGGGGTTCCCAAACTTGTCACGGGGCCTGTTGAGTTGCTCATCTCTTCTCTAGCACGGCACTTTGGGCCGTCTTCTACCAGACTGTGGCGGGTGCAGCCATAATTCCGTTGTATTACCTCGTCTACGCCGTCATATCACGGAATGACAGCTATCTCAGTAAGGGCAGGGAAGTGTCCCGCGGCCAAGCCAGAGCGCTGCTTCCAGCTCTCGTGATCGGATACCTTGTTCCCACAACTGCCCTCTATATCCCCTGGGGCGATTCTGACATTACTCAAAACTTGACGGCACTGTGGCAGATATCTCCGGCAATTCCTAATCTGTTGTTACTTGTGTTTTCCCCATTCCAAGCATCGGAGCGCATTCCTTCGAACGTCCCGGCCGATGTCAAGTACCTCAAACGGATCTATCTAGCCATTGGCATCATCTCAACGCTGACACAGCTTGCCACGTTCTACATCAGCTTCACATCTGACAACCCGCAACTTACCCTAAGCTATATCTTTCTGCCTAACAAGGCAACATGGAAGGAGAGTACCGTGCTTGGACTCCAGTGAGTTCCCCAGTCATACCGAGAGTCTCGCACTCGAGACGTATGAGACGCTGCTTTGTTTACATGCCCCTTACTAATGTTGAATGCTTATAGCTACATCTTCCAGTGGGATTTCTGGATCATTTACGTTTCATCACTTGTTTGGTGTTATATCGTCGTTGTCGATGCCGTGCGATATGTAAACGGCAGATTTACATTGATTGAAGCAATCTTGTCCATTTTCAACCTTACCCTAGTTTCTTTTATAGCGGGGCCTGGTACCACGATGGCACTCGTCTGGAATTGGAGGGAGAATTGGCAGCTGAAAATTGAGCAGAACCACGAGAAACCAAAATCCAAGTAACTGTAGCTGTAACATCTAGATGGGAACCCTAGCCCCCCACCACTTGACAAAGAAAAAAAGAAGGAGAACAAGGGTTTGATGAACTATGGCGGGATTTTCAAAACAAGAATCATCATTCGTATTCATTACACTATAATAAATGCATTCGTCTTCCATCGATGAAGCCCCTTATGTTGCCAAAACGGGGTACAATCCTAGCCGCAAGCTGACAATGACCGCGCAATCTCCCGCGCAGTACATATATCATTCAGTAACCTTCGCTGTATCTGATCAAGGGTGAATGGCCCGTTGGACCTGAGGATACACTCTACACATCTCCTGATACAGCTCAGGGTGTTCTCTGTAGAGCACCTCGGGCTCCCAGGACATTGCGACGAAAATGGTGTCGATACCGCTGCTGATTGGAGTAGTGAAGATGTTGCAAATTTGCAATCCAATAAGGAAAGCGACTGCAACCACAACCGGAGTGAAATTGCCATCAGAGTTGTAGGCAGGATTTGTGAAGACCATGTAGAGATAAGCCATTAGGGCGCACGCATAGCCCACAAAGGTGGCGCCCATACTGAGCACAGGCCCAATCAGACATTCGTTGACCAAGGCATCAATACCGCGCTGCTTGATCATGTTCCAGGTATCCTTGGCTGCGGGGATATATGCCTTGCCGTACAGAGCAATGTACGAAAAAGCGTAGCGGTTCAAAAACTGCACAGCCCAGTCCAACAGTCCAATGATGCATCCCAGAATGCAGAACATGACAGTGCCAATGATATCTCCCTGGCTAGCCTCGCTTTGTCGGGCGACTGAGCACATCTGTCGCAAGAAATTGATAATCGCGACGATAAGACTACCAAAACTGATACTGCCGAAGCTGTAGGTCAAGGATCGCTTCAGAGCTCCTCTCGTGGCACCCTGAGGGGGATTATGTGGATGAAAGTACCACGATCCGTAGACGCCGGAGATAGTTGTGTGAATCGTGTTCTTCAGCCATTCCGAGATCCAGTACATTGCAAACGTGATGAATACAATTAGGCCAGTAACTTTGGCCGAGCTACAGCCTCCACCGCTGGCACTGCAAGACGAGTTCTGTCCTGGTTGGTATTTGACGTATACGGCGACAAAGGTCACACTGTACCATGCGGCAAAAGCTGTAGCGACAATGCCGCCGAGCAAGCTCACGAGGTAGACGTGACCATATCGCTTCGACACATCGACCGAGGTCGTCAACATCAAAGCGCTGAACGGAATTCGGGGAATCCAGGTGATAAAAGCGAATATGAGGAAGGCCACAAAGATTAGAAACACTATGCCCCCGGAATAGTAGTGGCGCGACAACATGTAGATGGCTGTGACCAGGCCGAACACAATATTCAATATGCCGGTAATCCAGATGAACGTCTTTGGAAACAGTCGCGCGAGCCAGACATAGGCATAGCTGAAGAAGAAGGCGATGCACAGGCAGAAGATGAAGAGCACAATGGTGTTGGTGTTGAGACCAACCGACTGTGCGCCATTGTAGATACCGCCGCCATTGATGTTGCGAGTGTTGGCTGCACGAGAGTTATTAGCAGTATTCTAATGCATGGAATGGGTATCCTAGTTAGCTATAGCCAGGGGCTTACCATAGCCGTGAAGAGAGATGCCGGAAACAGCTACGAAACCGAGAAAGACAATGATAAGCTGCACAGATTCATGTCAGTTATGAATGGGTTGTACTTGAGTGGCCAGATTTAGAAAATCATGCGCATTCCATACCAGGATTCCGGCCCAGAGGTCATTCCACTTGGGCTTCTCAATCTTGAATGTTTGGTCAAACATGGGTTTCTCGCCATAGTTTTGGTTGTAATTTTGCTGAGGGCCGCCAGGAGGAGGTTGGCCGTATTGCTGCTGCTGCTGGTCATACTGCCCCTGCCCATAGGCTTGTTGATTGTACTGCTGCGGTGGTTGCTGTTGTTGATAGTAATTGTTGTTTGGCGCTGGCTGGCCACCACCGTTGTAGTAGTTGGCTCCCTCTCCGCCGCCCGAGGGATTGTACGCCATGTTTGCAGGTGGGATCGATCGATCTGCTGAGATGCTGTTTTAAGCTTAATGCAACCCCAGAAGCCGATGGAGGCGACACTTGGATGGCCGTCGGGAAGCTGATGGATGTTGTTGTCAGCGTCAGCGCAGCGCTGGACTGAAGAAAGAGTTGAAACTTGGAGCAAGAGAATTAAAAGGGACCTCTTTGGGAATGCGGGATGGGACTTTTGTTTGTCGCAGGAGAAAAAAAAACAATGTCGTCAATTCAATTTCCCACAGCTGCTGAACTTGAGCTCCAGGACTGCTTCCAGTTTAAGCTCGGGCGCTGGTTTGCTGCTGGCCTAGATAGACTTCTGCGCTAGCGATGCACTATTAGGTCTAGCTTTGAGAAGTGCTAAGCTTCTTTAAGCGCTGAACGTCTGCTGCTGCATTGGCTGGGCTAGGCCTTTGACCAACCGCTGCTGTTTTGTCTGGCAATGCAGCTTCCCGTGCGTGCGCACCAATCGCTGGTGCTGATGTCATAGCTCTAGCACAAGCATACCAGGATCTGGCGGCAGGAAATTGCCGTGTGGAACATCTGACATCGGGTTTCAACTTCATCGATAATGTTAGCTGGTCGGGACCTGCCAAGGCCTTTCGTTGGGAATTACTAGTACCATTGATTTATTTCCATCTATCCAGATTCTATAAAAGAGTTTGAAGACAGAACATGATGAAGGATACAATGTTTTGGTCGAAATCACACTTCTCTGACTGATTGATCAATAACTTGGCCAGTCAGATTTGCAGCTGGAAACAGTACTATAACGACGTTTGTATTGCTTTAGAGCCGATTTCCGTCCTCTCCCGTAAATGTGCCGTGAATATAACTTGGCTTCTTCTTGGCAATTTCAGGACAGCCGCAAAGCCGATTATACGAAAAGGCAACCAAAGAGAATATCGCCTGTGCATGGCGTTGCTGCGATATGTTTCAATTAGCAGAAGCAGCACCGGTGTCATGTCCGGGTTGAAATGAAGACACAAGTTCCATTAGCGAACAGTGTGTGGAACCAGCCAACCAAGAAGTTACAAAGACACACAAATGAAAGAAGTGCAACGCCAATCATCGTCCTTAAAAACAACATAATCGAAGGCAAAACAACTTCGCCATTCAGATTATACTACTCCTGACTCAATTACGAGGGCTAAATTGAGCTGGGAGCCGTCTTACATTCCAAATTCAAGCTAGTGTAGGACTGACGATACAGGTGGATGGCTTTCGGACGCACAATATGAGAATTGTAGAACGGCTCTTCATGATCAGACTAAATGGAGGTTACCTCCATAACCGAGATTGCCTTGAATGATTGGACTCTGTCATGAAGTGATACTTCGGATGATCATCATGAATCAAACATGGCAACAATTTGTCGCACGACAACAACGCCATGGCCACAACTAGACCGATGAAAATATACACGTGGGAAAAAGGCATTTAATTTTGATATGATTTCAAACATCGAATACCTTATCCGTTTTCCCATTCTTTTAACACTGGTTTGACTGGTGTATTCGACTTAGAAATCATAATTTGAGTCGGCCTTAGTTGAGCAAATTGATATGATGAATTACATCTCGACTGATATATTGCTTCTATATTAAGTAGTCTTTATAGCTTCAAGCTGGGTGAGATGGATGATGGATTTAGTCAAATTCTACAAGTAGTACAGGCAAGTGGAAACTAGTTTTGAGTTTTGTCATTTGATATAATCATATCTATTCATTTCGCATCGCTAGCAACGCCTGTAGCTTTTTGTCATAGTCCAGGTCTGGCCATGCAGTGCCTTCTCCATCATGACTATTTTTTTATCTCTTGGCCGATACCTCCTCCCACTGCACGCCAGTCCACTCCTCGAGATATCCAGCTTCGCCCTCGGCCACGCCGCGAGCCTGACAGTCCGACTCGCAGACGCCGACAATGATGGTGCCCCAGTCCATGCCCTCGAGGCTGAGCTCCTCGGCCTCCAGTTCGGCAATGGCGTTGGGCGTCAATTGGACCTCGAATGCTCTTGTACTACCGCAGTTTCCGCATCGCGGCATCGTTCGGTTGCCGCCCAGTAGCTGGCCCACCGCATCTGTCTTGGAGTACAGTAGGGGCTGGCCGCCGAATTCGTATCGGATCACCTGCTCGGGGTTTTGGGCGAGCCGATCGGCAAACTTTTGAAAATCGCCGTCCATGACGGACTCGAAAACTTCGCGGTCTTCCTTTCCACCGCCGGCAGAGGATCCTGGCTCGTCTACATCCATTCGTGTAGCTTGTGGTATTGGTGGCGGTGTCGGGTCGAGAGTTTCATAGTCAGCGTCGGCCAGGTACGAGATGGGGTAGGGAGAAGGCAGATCCTTCTCTACGGGCCATGGTTCCGGGGGCGGGGGAGGGCCTTGCTCTTTCTGAGGGTTGTTGAGCGAGAGAGTCTCGGCAAACGTTTTTGGGAGGGCTTCGACTGCCTCCTTGACTTCGGCTTTGCTAGTCTCCTCTACAGGTTTGGGTGCTTCCGGCTTGGAACTACTGAAGGGGTTTGCACCACTTGCAAATGGATTGCTGGGCGCAGAACCCGATGTCGCAAAGGGGTTGGCCGAGTTCGACGCGGATCCGAGGCCCTTTGCTCCGAATAGTGCCTCGCCAAGTTTCGGCTGCGGCTTTGGTTCCTCCTTGACTGCTGGCTTCTCTTCTTTTTGAACCTTCTCAGTCGGTGCTGCTTTGCTGCCGGGTTCGACGCGAAGTCCTCTGATTACGCGAATGCTTCCATCCTTCCTGCGACAGCTTTTCTTTTTGCAAGCAAAGACGTACAACCGCCGTTCGTGTCCGGGGAAACGGTCTGGTAGTTCTCCATTCAATTGTAGCAGAAGAACCATGACATCTTTGCACAACTTGCAACGAGCAAGGGCAGCGGAAGCGGGTGCTGAGGGATCGAGCCAGTCCTATGATACGCTGTGAGTATTCACAAGACATCTAGGTACAGCAAAGTAGTGCATTGGCGCAAACTCACTGGGCGACCTCCCAAACGGCTTATGGTATCATCTTCGGCATCCTTGGATGCATAGCCGAGGAGGACATTGGTCTCTGTGTAATCGACTTCTTCTCCGCCAGAGGAGTCGCTGTCGTCGTAGGGTGCCATTACGTGAATCAGCGTAGAAAAAATTAATTTGGTGATGTTTGCTTGGTCCCTGTACTTTTTGCCTTATCACTAGAAACTTTGGCGGGGGAGGGGCTTATCGGGCTGGCCCCACAACTCACTATTAAGTTCAATGCCATAGGTTACAAGAGAATCACCTATTCTGTGTATGCTTGCACCTTGAAGGTATCAATGCAAAGAAAACTCTTTCCACTATTCATAGTGCTGTACAGTCAACAAGTTATTACAGTTGACTGTTGTGGCCACTATGGCCACTGGAACCCACTGGAATCCAGTGGAATGTTCCACTGGATCCAGCCCCACTAAGTGTGGCCAGTGCACCTGGCCATAGTGGCCCTGGGTTACAAGGTAACCCACACCATAAAAATCCATGGATTTTTATGGTTTCTTCGATTATAAATCAACCTTATTATTAATTAATTTAATTATAAATTTAGTTTATTAGTAATATATTTTAAAAATATTTTTACGATTAGTTTTATAAATATAAAAGGTAATTATTTTTTTATAATTAATTATCCCTTTTTTAAAATTTAATAAATTAATTATTATTACAAATATACCCCCTTATATAAAAATAAATAAATATATTAGCGCTTAAGGAAAAAAGGAGGGGCTTAGCATTAAAAATCAAGAATAAATTATATTAAAAATAATTATTCCCGCTAATTATTAATAATTATTAATAAAATTATTTATATTATCACGATCCACGGAATTAAAGGCGATATATTAACGTATAAAGTATTAAATAAATTTAATTATAAACGAAACTTACGAAATAAATGACTACGGTATTATTAAATAAATATTAATATTTAAATATATAAATTTATTAAAAGGGTTAAGCTAATTAATATATTATAAAGCTGCTAGCCGTATAGCCGTAATTACCCTTTTTTCGCAAATCAAAAAATTCTTATTTTTAAATTTATTAAATTACTTAAACCGGTATTTAAATTTAAATTTTATATAGCATTTTTAAGGGTATTTTTAATAAAAGTGCTATTACGAATATGCACCTTTGCATAAAAACAAACAAATATATTAGCGTTTAAGGAAAAAAAGAAGGGGCTTAGCACCGAAAAACGGAAATAAGTTAAAATAAAAACCACTATCCTTAATAGCTATTAGCTAGCTATTAAATAAAATTATAATTTTAATAATAATTTAAACGGTTAAATTATTAAAATTATTAAATTTTATCGACTTTAAGGCAATAAAATAAATTTAGTATTATAATTTAAAAATATTAATAAAAAATAAATAAATATATATTATAAAAAGATTTTTTATATAAATAATTATTATTTTAATAATTAATTTAAATATTTATTTTATTTATAAATAAAGCATTTAATACGCTTTAACGATTATATTTATAAATTAATTTAACCGCTTTTACCTTTAAAATATTTATTATTTAACATTTTTTTTTTAAAGCTATCGTTCCTTATTAATATAAACCTTTAACACCTTATATTTTAGGTTTATTTTAAAAACCCGTAATTTAGTTATTACACCGGTATTGCTTTTAAATACAACAGAAATTTTCTATATTACGTCGATAATATTATAACGATTACATTATGGTGTAACGATTATATTACGGGTTTTTAAAATAAACCTAAGGTATAAAAGGTATTAAGGTTTATATTAACAGGGAACGAAAGCTTTAAAAGAAAATACTAAGCCATAAATATTTAAAGGTAAAAGTAATTAAATTAATTTATAAATATAATCGTTAAAGCGTATAAAATGCTTTATTAATAAATGAAATAAAAGGTAGTTATTCCCCCGTAGTTAGTTATTCTTTCTTTAAGCTTCAATAAATCAGTTATACAGCCTTATAACTACTTTTACGGCCTAATTCTACGAATTATACGAACGCTTCCTTATACCTAAATTTATAATCCACTAATTATACCTTAAAATAGGTTATAAGCCCGGTCCGGTATAATATCGATTATATTTAAATACCGGATTTAAATTATATTAAAACTATAGCCGCTTTCCTAAATAAGTTAATATAACGTAAACTCCGGAATTCCGTTATAATAGCCGATTTTATAAGCTTTATTTTAAGCTTATATAGCCGTAACTATATCGAAAACTATAATTAAATAGCTATTTATAATAATTTTACCCGTTATAGTTATATAACAGTTATAAAGTCACTTATAACTAATCCTTATTATAATAGCCGATTTACTATAACACCTTATAGCACCTATTATATTATATTATAGCACCTAAATCTCTTTATATACTTTATCGATAAAATAAAAAAATTAATTTCTTTTATTTTTATTTTTTTAACGATTTCTTTACTGTTTTTAACGATAATTATACCGTTATAATAGCAAAAATTCGGCAAAATAGATAACTCTATCCGTATTATTACCGGATGCCAAATGCCCCGGAAACAGAAATTTTCCGGATCCGGAAACTAGAATACGTAAAAATCTATGTTATAATTATATTTTAAATTATTAGGAATCGATCGGTTTTTTAAAACTACCGATATATATAACGGTATAACCGATATTTAAAAAGCCTAGGTATTATTTTTAATTCGTTAAAATTTAATAATAAAACCGTTAAATTTAATATTCGATAAAATAAATTTATATAAAGCTTTATCGATTTTATAATTAGCCTATTAAAGCATCGGACCCGTATTACGTTAGCAATTATATTTCGAATTTTATATTATTAAATTCGAAAATTATAACTTGTTAAACGAGTTTATATTTATTTTTAAAAGATATATTTTAAAGCTTTTAAACGTTAGGGCTAAAATCGATAATATCGATTAAAAAACGATTTTTATTATAGCCTTTTAATTAGCTTACCTTATATAGGCTAACCGTTAACGTAATATTTTACGGTTTATAAATCTATTTATTTTTAAAAGGTTAATTATAGATATTTTAGATAAAAACCGACGGAATCCGGATACGGCTATAGGAAATTCTTATTATACGGATAATAAAAAATCCCGGTTCCCCCGATCTAATTAGAATTAACAAGGAACCCAAAGCGGAAATAAGAAGAATTCGAATAAATCGAATAAAGGGAAGAATTCGAATAATTCGAATAAGTCGAATAACTTAAATTCGACTATATCCACTACGAACCAAAAATCTAAAAAACGGGGAAATTTACCCTATAACAAAGATTTAGACGAAAACGAATCGTTTTATGCTTTTTCGAATATTTCGAATAATTTAAAAAAAAAAGAAATTAACTACCTTCCCTAAGGATTAGTGGTTATACGATACGGGTTTTTTAAAATATATATCGAATAATAAGAATTTATTCGATAGTTTTACTATAAAATCGGATTTTTTACCGATTATTATAAGTAGTGGAAAAATATTTCTAAAAGGAATTGGAAATATTACGCTTTCCTTCGAAATTAACCGGGAAATATATAAAATAACGTTATTAAACGTATTTTACGTACCGGAATTTCCGCTAAATATTATATTTAGCTAATTATATTACTAAAAAAGCGGTATTATAAACGGGAATAAATTATATAATTCTAAAAATAAGCCTTTTATTACGTTAAATTAAAAAAAACGTAGATTTTTTTATATTTAGCTAATAAATTAAAGCTTAATATAGCATATTTAGCTATAAATTTACTAAAAATAATAAAAAAAACCCGTATAATCGGTTTAAATTACCCGGAACCGAATTCGGATATAAAATTTAATAAAACTACGGATTTCGAGGAAATCGAATTAATTTCTAATTATTCGAATTTCTTTATAATTACGGAAAAATAATATAAACGATTTAGCTATCTTAACTATAATATTTTAGCTAAAATAGCTAAAATAATTACGGGGATTTTTAAAAAAAAATTAAAAAAGGAAAATTTAAATTACGAATTTTATATTTCGGGAAAGTTTACCTAAAACCAGCCTTATATAAATCCGAATAAAGCTAATAAACCGTTATATTATATTTATATCGATACGGTTTATATTACCTTTTTTAGCTATTTCGGTTATAAATATATAATTAATTTTACGGATAATAAAACCGGATTTCGGGAAATTAAATTTTTTAAAAAAAAATCCGATATATTCGATATCGTAATAAATAAAATTAAATATTATAAAACCTAATTCGGAAAATATTTAAATATTATTTATATAAATAACGGCAAAAAGTTTTCCCTAGTTAAAATTAAAAAATTATTTAACCGAAAAAAGGATTATTTTCGAATTTATAATTTTTTATATATTAAAATAAAACGGTATAGCCGAATATATAAACCGGATTATTATCGAAAAAACTAAAACGGTTTTTATCGATTTATAACTCCCGAAAAACCTTTAAGAATTCGTTATAAAAATAATAATTTATTTAATAAATTTTATTATTACGGTATCCGGTTTATTTACCCTTTATTAGGAATTTTACGATTATTTTTAGCTAAAAAAAAATAATACGCCTAATTTATTTTAAATTTATATTTTAAAAATATTAATTTTAATTTATAAACCGAAAAAAATCCGTAAAAACTCCGATAAATTCGGAGTTATTACCGAAAACGGGAAAATAATTAAATATAACGGTAATAAAATTTATTATATATATTTTCCCGATCGACCGTATAAATTATAAATTATACGGATTTTTTATATTCGATTATTACCTAAAAATCGAAAAAAAAAGGAAAAATTACCGGATTCGGAATTACCGGATTAGGAAATAATACCGGATAAAAATTTTACCGACGGTAAATTTATCTAATTATAAATCTTAAAAATAATAAATCCACGAAATCTACTAAATTTATTTCCTAAAAACGATCGAATTTTTCGATCTATTATAAATAAATTTATAATTAATAATTAACCGGATTTACCCGGAAACGAATTTAATATAAATAATAAATTTAATATAAATTCCGAATTTATAAATATTAATAATACCTTTTCGATTATTCCGAATAAATCGAA